TAGTATAGAAGATAGTAGATTTTATTTAATAGAGAGCTAGAAGCTTTCTTTCTATAGTTTATCGAGCGTCTACGTCGCTAAATATATAGTAGATTTTCGCCTTAAATCTATTTAACTCTCTAAAGACTCTTTAGGTTATTACTATCTATTCTTAGGTAAACTAGTATATAAGAAAGTTCTTTAGAAATAGCTAAACTTACTTCTAAGCTTTCTCTCTTAAGTAAGAGGCTATATATATACTTTATTTAGTAGTAATTTAAACTTATCTTTATTAAATATAAGGTAAACCTCGACTTAGTAAAGAAAGGTTTCTAGGTTATTTTACTTACTATTAAACTTATCTAGAAGAGTAACTTTAAAAGACTTATTATTCTTAATTATATTCTTAACTATAATAAGTAGTAAGGTATTAGGTATACTAACGTCGTCTCTCTTATTATTATTATCTTAGACTAGTATAATAATTTAGGTATTCTATATATAGTAGATAGAGGTTTTATTAAGTTAGTATATAAGTAAGTATATATAAGATTATTAGGTTATATACTTAAAGGTATATTTATTATAATAAGAGTAAGTTAAATAGATAATATACTATTACTATAGTAAGTTAAGTATAAAGCTTCTATCTAAGAAAATTATAATTATTATATAGAACTTTTCTTCTCTTAAGTTTAATAGGTTTATTAGTTAAACTTATTAAACTTCTAGCTAGTTTAATAGGTTTATCTAGCGAACTTATTAAACTTTTATTATTACGTAATAGTACTCTAAACCGAGGCCTATCCGCTAACCTAAATATAGCTAATATTAACTAAATTAAACTACTAGGTAGTAGTTCTAGAAACTACTTAATTTCTATAATCTCGCTTAATTCTAGAACTTTTAGTTCTAGAAGTATTACGACGCTAAGGCCGACGCTACTTATAATATAGAGGACCTCCTTATAAAGATATATATTACTATAAGTAAAAGAGATTAGTTTTAGATAATCGATCTTAATAGTCTAATAACTAGACTTATTACCTTTTATCTTTCTATAATATCTTTAGAAAAAGAACTTAAAGTCTTTAGCTTTATTAGTATTATTATTAGACTCTTAATATTATACTTAAAGATACTTCGCTATACCTATAAGTCTATTATATTCTATACTAGGTCTACTTAGTATAATATAGAATTTAGCTAACTCTAGCTATATAGTAAGTAAGCTATTAGATTCTTCTCTAGCTTTAATAAATATTTAAAAAAGAGTTTTAGTAGTTTTTATATAGGCCTAGTCTTTTTCGAATAAGCTAAGAATTATATACTTAAGATAGATATTAAAGGAAAATTATAGTTTACTATTAACTAAGAGATAACTTATATTATACTAGATATTATATATCTTCTTCTTAGTCTAGACTAATATAAATTCTTTCTTGTTAGATTACTTTAATAAGAGAGTCTTCGATCTTAAAGACTTATCTTTCTATATATAAGTACTAGATACTATCTTTCTTACTAGATTAATAAGTTTTGTTTCTTAGAATTAGAAAGTACTTAAAGACGTCTTTCTCGCTAGATTAATAGGCTTCTTTTCTTTCTCTATATTTAGTTAGAAGAGAGTACTAATAGCTTACTTACTAACTCTTAATTCTATACTTTCTTAATAACTAGATTTACTATTATAGCTATTAGATTTCTATATATTACTTTCTTTAGCTACTCTTTTTATCTTAACTTAATTATAGATCTACTTTTCGCGCTAAGAAGATATTAAAGATAGTTCGAAAACTCTAAACTCTATTAAGATTATATATTTATCTAATACTATTAGTATTTAATATATTAAAAGAGATCGAGAATTATAACTTACTAAAGTATATAAATAACCTTTATTTAATATTCTAGTTTAGCTAAAAGACTTAAGTCTTATATAAAGACTCTAGCTTCTTAGTATAGAAATAATAGAGATTATTATATATATTAATACCTTTAATATTTCGCTAAATATATTCTTCTATAATCTACTAATAAAAGATTTTCGCTTTCTATAATTTAAAGAACTATATTTTATCTTAATTATAATCTAGGTCTAGCGGCGACTATATAGCCGTAAGCTCGGGCGCTATAATTACTAAATAAGATATAATAATTTAAAATTAAAGATTAAAAGAAGTTAAGGTTAAAATTTTATCTAGTAGATCTACTAGTATAATTACTCTAGATAGATTAAAAGAAAAAATATTAAAGGTAAAGTAATAAGTTTACTTACTTAAGTTATACTTTACTTAAAGAGATAAGATAGTAACTATTAAATTAGAAAATAGTTAAATAGTATTATAATAGATAAAAGTATTATTATAAGAAGTAAAACTTATTATTAAAATAATTAGAAATTAATATTATAGTAGATTTAAGAGTAAACTATCTTTAAAAATAGTTTATTTAGAGTTAGTTTACTCTTAAATATATTTTTATATAAGTTTTAAAAATAAATATTATTATTATAACTATAAAGTTAAGTTTAATATATATATTAGTTAATAATTATAATATATACTATAAAAATAAAAATTAACTTTATAATTTATTAAAGAAATTAAAGCTTTTATATTTAAAAGTAAAATACTTTTAAAAATTATTTATTTAAGACTTTTTATCTTTAAATATATTTTATTATATCTCTTTCTATAATAATAATAATATAATAAAATATTAGTTTTATAATATAATAAAGTATATATTTAGTAGCTATCTTTTTAATAAAAATAGTAAATATCTCTATTATTTTTAAAATAAGTTTATTTCTCTTTAAAGTTTAATTTATATAAACTATTTTAATAATATTATTAGAAAGTTATCTATATAGAAACTATTTTAAAACTCTATTATATAAAACCTTATATCTCTTTTAAATATATTTACTTATCTATAATAAAGAGTATAATTATAATTCTTATAATAGTATTTTCTCTTTAATAAAGTTTTATAACTCTAAGTATTTTATATTATAGTAAAGAAAGACTAATTATTTAAAAAGATAGTATAGAAGTTCTTATTTTAAAATATCTATATTATTTTTATATTATTTAAGTAAGTTCTAGTCTCTATAACTATAAGTAACTTTATAAATCTTTAATAGAGATTTATCTTTATTAAGTTTAACTTCTTTAAATATCTCTAATACTATTATAATTAAGATAACTTTATAAGAGATATTATAGAAGTTCTTATAGAAAAAGCTCTACGCTCTTTTTATTTCGAATCTTATAAGCGAGTTTTTAACGACCGCGAGTAACTTTGTAATTTCTCGATAGGATTTAGCCCCTATAAAGCCTAACTTGTTAAAACAGCTCTAGATTTATTAGAGTAACAAAAAACATACGAAGGGTATCTTAGTAATCCTTGCGGCGAAAACCCCACGCCTTTTTTAAATTCACTTACGCGAGTTTTCACGACTAGCAACTTCGTAGTCTCCGCATAGGATCTTAACCCCTAACAAATCCTACTTATCTAAACATCTCGGACTATATCCCAGTCACGAAACTAACGCGAAAAACAACATGGGAGCCTCTAGGGCAAAAGCCCCACCCCCTTTTCAATTTCATTCAAGCGAGTTTTCCACGACTAGCAACTTCGCAATTCTTGCATGGGATTTCTCCCCCTCACAAGTACTACTTGTCTAAATATCTCTAATTACATCCTAGTTACGAACATAACGCGAAAAAAGTATATGAGTCTCAGGGGCAAAAGTCCCATTCACTTTTCATGTTTATTTAAGCGAGTTTTCGACAACTGACAACTTCGCAATTCTCGCATGGGATTTCTCCCCCTAACAAACATAACTTATTCAAACATTTGTAGGGTATTAGAAAATCGAATGCGACACGAAAAACAACGTTAGAGCTCCCGGGGCGAAAACCCCACGCCCTTTTCAATCTCACATAGGCGAGTTTTCTACCGTGAACATCGCCATTACAGAATGGGATTCTTCCTCTAGTCTTTTATACACTTCAGCACCTGTAATTATACTATATCAACGAATGCTAAACGCAAGACATCATGGGAGCCCTAGGGGCAAAAACCCCAAGGTGTTTTCAATTTCACTTTAGCAAGATTTGTCCAAAAGTCCTCCACTAGATCAGCAACTTTAGGCATAATCTCCCTCACCACCGCATGTCCTATTCCCGGAACTACACTAGTATATCAATTCTAATATCGAAAAGATTGTTTTCGCTATAGACATCGTTAACGGGTTTAAATGTACAATACTATCGAGAAAGTTTAGACAAAGTAGACGAACTTTAACACCTATCTCTTCGCATTTATTTCCCAGTATACTAGAAATTACAACAATTCTAATACCCCGACTTCACATTACTAATTGTCAGCGTTAGTATGTTAATCTAATAGAGAAAATGAAATGCCAGCTCGCTTAGCACGGGGAACTTTTGATTATGTTTATGTAAAGAGCGATTTTGGAAAGTTATTAGATCGGTAATCAGATGAGTGTGAGAGGCATGCCTCACACACTCTGGCACATTCTGAAAATCCGACAGCCGCTGAAGATGTCACATCCGAAGGCAGGCACTTGAAGCCGCGATCAGTAAACAACAGTCGAGGTATATATTGCAAACCATTGTTAAACCAAGCACTAGCTATCTTCACAGGTTATTAGTATCATACCGACTTGCTACCCTGATTTGTGGACCCCGGTTATGGAAAACCCAAAGAATAGGAAGCACCACTAGCGATAAAAAAGAATGATAGAATCCTCGAATCTTTGGATCAGCGAACGGAGGCTTTGAAAACTTTTGTGAGGGAGGATGATGTTGAACATGTAAAGGCTCAACCCGAAGTCATTGCGGAATTACGAGCAGGACATGAATATCTGCTTTCTTTGGGATCGGGGTTGTCTTTTGCTGGTGGAGCACCTTTTGTTCTCAAACCACTACAAAAGCGTTAACGGTAAGAAGACGATGATGATGAGCTGGGACCTATGCAACTACAAAACAATGGCAAATCAAAAAACCGTCGCAAGCGAGGAAGAAGAGAAGGTCGTGGTCGAGAAGGGAATTGAACTCACTGGCACTGGTTATGGCGTTTCGGTTGCTTGTGTTTTCACATCTGCTTGCATTATCAGCATTTCGGCGAGAAAAGCCCAAGAACGTATGCCGTCAGTGGTAGGATAGCTATTATACTAGAGACCTCAAAATCAAGCATCACATCAGAGACCGCAGGCGTATATATGGAACTTCCAAACGCACTTGAACCGTTAGCTTGGAAGCTACTTGTAAAGTTGTGCAACTTACACGACGAAACATAGGACGGACGGAATGCCCATACTGATAATTTTCTTCCCCGTCGGCCAGTTCAACGGTAACGTTGGGTCATCTTCGTCTATAGCAGAAGAGTTTGCAGGAGTCGCGATCTTTTCTGAATCTGGTAAGTCTGAAGCATGCTGGTTATTCGCACTCTGCTGAGCGCTTTGCTGACCTTTAGTCTCCGTGGAAGAGTCGAGGCTGCCGTTTTCTACAGATATAGAGTCTGAAGCCTACCTCGCGGAGGACAAAATAAGTGGCAGTCGTACCAGAATAGTTCTTCGACTAAGTTGACGAAACATCGTGTTTTAGTGGATTAACTTAGAACATTACGACTATGTCGTCAACTGTTTTAAGTAAATGAGACTTTAAGCTCTATTCGAAGTCGGCTTGTTATTTAGTCTAAGATTCGCGGGTAGGTGACCGCCACTAATTTTGTCCTTCTCGAGCCTACACAAGCTCCTTCGATCCTAATAGTCGGCCAGGGTTAGCCAGATCCAGGGCTATGTAGTTGGCATCGATGTCGCGGACGAAAATCTTCTGCGTGAAACCATATACCCTGAATCCCAGTTCTGATTCTCAATCCGAACATGAAATCCTTCGGGGAAGGTGATCTTCTTGGTGTCCATTATTTCCACATCGTTCATTCGACGGTGAGCCCAATTTTTGAATCCAAACCCTGTGAATAACAACATGTGCCGGCAGTAAGCCAACATATTCTGAAAACCGTTGGTTATCTCTGCTCCTCATAGAACAAGAGGTGCACTAAGTAAGATAATTGACCAAGTGCCGAAGTAAGAATACCAACAGTTGACGGAGAGCAACTCCTTAAACGTCTTCGGCCGAAATAAACCAACTGAATCGGTGCTCGAAACGGACGGATTACGAGTGGATCTCAAGCTTTCGATATTAACCGGCCAGTGGTAAGCTTGAGAAGTGACATTGACCGGGCACAGAATGGTATCAAACGTTGAGACACAAAAATTGAAGCTTGCCATTGGCCGAACCGAGCAAATACATCGGAGTAATGCTGGTCTCCGATGGACGAGGCGCAAATGATTTAGCGAGTCAAGGGTTACTTGGTATCTGAAGTTCTGAACTTTCCGATCCGGGATACAAGTAAACCTTGATTTTCTAGATGTAGATCTGAGGCACGTACAATTACGGCGCAACATGCTGTGTTGGATGTCAGGATCTCAGCAAAACAGAACTCAAGCTGGGTTGCAATCGTGACGTAAAGAAATTACAAAGATGATATGCAAAGCCAGAGGTAGATTAGAATTGTATTTTTTAATGATGCGCTTCACTTGAGGCTTGACCTTTTGGAAGTACTTGCTTCAAGCTTCAAAGCCTCTAAAGCAGATTCATAAGCAGCTTTCTGCTCCTCACTGAACTGTGACGCAGCAATATTTACCCTAGATATTGCCGCGGTCCGCTCAACAGCATTTGATCTTCCAATCTCGTTCCAAAACCACCAAGCTTCACTTGGGGTGAACAATGTCCACGCATGACCACGTTTCCCGGCTCTTGCCGTTCTTCCTACTCGATGAACATAGCTTGATAGGCTCACAGGAACATCGTAATTGATGACATGTGCTAAATTAGGAAGATCGAGACCTCGTGAGACCAAGTCAGATGCAATAAGAATCGAGACTCGGCCATTCTCGAATGCTTTGAGAGACGCTCTTCGTGCTGAACTTCGTGTTGTAGATGTGAGAGTGGCAATAGATGATGCAGACTTAGGATCAAGTAATGCTACTAATCTACCAAGACGAACAGCAGTCTCGTTCGACTTTGTGAATATGAGGGATCCCCTGGGTGTAATACCATCGGCCGAAGGTGGCACAGCCTTGGACTCCACTAGAGTTTTTGAAGTATCGGACTCTGACGACGAAGTATCGTCGGAATCAGAATCCGAATCAGACGAATCTGAGGACGAATCAGACGCATCGTTGGCCTGCTTAAAAATACCTTGAACAAGCCCTTCACGCCGGAGAACTTCCATCAAATAAAGTGGCTTGATGCTCTCATCCTCAACTTTGATGCCAGACTCCAAGAGCAGCTCTGGCAGAACGTGCCCATGTGAAACATCTGTCATAGCCGTGTCTTCTGCTGTAGCGCTTTCCAGTACCACCATATGTGGTCTGTAAAGCTTCAGACCACTCAATTGCCCTATGTCTCGAGTCATAGTAGCACTGAGAATGATCTTTCTGACGTGATTTGGTCGCTTCTGGAACACCCTCCTTTCTTTCTCCAAAGACCCTATGACTAGGCCTAGCCACTGTTGAAAGCTCTGGTCAAGAAGTTTATCCGCTTCATCGACAACAAGCCAATTCACATATTCAAGCGAGAAGCCTGGAGTAGACTTGAGATGTTCAACAAGCCTACCCGGTGTACAGATAAGAATATCGACCTTTGGTTGTGAAGTGATGACGTGATCTTCCAATGTCGAGACACGCTCTTCAACGTAAAGTTGTTCTTCATCTTCGTCGCCGTCTTCATCGGAGCTTTCCCACTTCGAATTCAATCTTTTCTCTTCTGCTCGATATTTTTCTGGATCATATCTCAACTCTTGTTTCATTATCGAAGCCTGCTCGGATTTTAAACTTTCACTTCCCACAGCTGTTGCAATCTTCACTCTTCTTCTGCTTCCATTCGTAAATGCCGAAGCACATATTTCTGCGACATCTCGAGCTTGGAGTACGAGTTCTCTCGTTGGAACCACAACCAAACAGCGAAGGCGTGTTGTGACGGTTTTACTAATTTCCTCAATCATAGGAAGCACGTATGCTAGTGTTTTACCAGACCCAGTAGCAGCTGATACCAGAATATCTCCAGGTCGTTGAGCAGGCCCAGGGAGAAGAATCGGCAATACAGCAGATTGGACAGCGAATGCATGATGAAAGCCTTTCGAGGAAAGTATGGGGATTGCCTCTGCTGGGACTCCAACATCTGCAAAAGGCAATCTCGTCGCTGGAGATACACGGATGGGAGAAGCAAGCCAAGGTGGCAGAGAAGTCGTAAGACTCTGTATTGGTAATTGGGGAACAGGCTCTGGTTGTGGTAGTGGTATTAAATCGTGTAGTTGCTCCTCCTCTTCTGGTGGAACTTCTGCTGTGTCTTTTTCTGCCTCTCTTTTTGCCAATTTTTCTGCTTTCCTCAAAGACTTTTCACGTTTCGCCATTAATCGTTTATGTGTTGCCTCTCCCTCGGTTTCTCCAGTTGGTTCTACCCCTTCCATATTATCCAGTGGCGTATCGTTATTTGTGGACTTTTCCTTCCGCTTCTTCTTTTTTATAGGCTCTGCTTCGTTTCCGTTTTTCTCTTCACCATTACCATCCAGCAAGTCTTGCTCTCCAGTTTCATCATTGCTTTCTGCATCTTTTTCCTTTTTGGTTCCCTTCGATCTTTTGTCCTTCTTGTCCCTCTTGTCTTTCTTGGCTTTTTTGGGCGAGGATTGCGCTACAGAATCATCCAGCTGGGGAACATCTCGTTTGTTTGGTCGATTATCCGCCGTTATCGCAGCAGTAACCATGCTCTCGTCTTTCCCCAGCAATTCAACAGACTTGGATTTCGGTTTAGAAGCGGGGACATATCGAGCGTAGGTAGCGGAAGCATCATGCTGTATTGCTGGTGTTGGTGGAGTAACTTTCGAAACTTCTAACGCAGGTTCTGATGCTACCACGAGGGGTTTTGAGTCCAACTTCTGTTTCTTTGCCGGTGGCACATATCGAGAATATATCTGTGCTGACATTGTAAAATCTTTAGCACCGAATTAAATTCGGCGCATCTGTGAAGTTATCAAACGTTGAAAAAAAGTTCGAGGCTGAACGATGCGACGGTTGAACCTCGGTTCGAGCCAGCCTTGTTTTCGCGTCGCGTGGTTCGAGATACTGTAACATATTCTGCGACACATTGTCATTGATGGACTGATGAGAACATCAATGAAGTCAAAGATCATGTCTCTTTACGTCGCGTACCAATATCCTGTCCGAGTTATATGACGTTGATGCACGGGATCAGGCACGACCTTTGGCCATCTTCCTCCAATACATCACCAAGATGCCGTACAATATTGCCATGGTTAGTGACTTCTTCTTCCCCCAACCCGGAGGAGTCGAAAGTCACATATATCAACTTTCTTCCAAACTCATTGATCGCGGACACAAAGTCATCATCATCACCCATGCGTACGAAGACCGAACAGGCATACGCTACCTCACAAATGGCCTCAAAGTCTACCACGTTCCCTTCTTCGTCATGTACCGAGCATCAACGTTCCCTACGGTTTTCTCATTCTTTCCCATATTTCGAAACATTGCCATTCGAGAAGAGATACAAATTGTACATGGGCATGGCAGTATGAGTCCATTTTGTCATGAGGCTATTCTACATGGAAGGACTATGGGATTACGGACTGTCTTTACGGATCATTCATTATTTGGATTTGCAGATGCTGGGAGTATCCTTACGAACAAGTTGTTGAAGTTTACAATGAGTGATGTAGATCATGTTATTTGCGTGAGCCATACATGGTGAGAATTCTGGATACTTCGTAGTCAACATGCTAACATCTAACAGTAAAGAAAATACAGTTCTTCGAGCTTCCTTGGATCCTCTGATGGTATCTGTAATACCGAATGCTGTAGTCGCTGAAAACTTCCGACCACTATACCATCCTTCCTATCCCAGCGACTTCTCTACCACCTCTCTTCCTCAACATCTCGGCCCGCACGATACCATAACAATAGTCGTAATCTCCCGGCTCTTCTACAACAAAGGGACGGATTTGTTAGTGGCTGCTCTACCTCGAATTCTGGCGAACAATGCGAATGTACGATTCATAATTGCCGGTTCTGGGCCAAAAGCAATCGATTTGGAACAAATGCTGGAGAGAAATGTTTTACACGATCGCGTGGAGTTGCTTGGACCAGTCAGGCATGAGGAAGTACGAGACGTGATGGTTCGAGGTCATATATATCTTCATCCAAGTTTAACGGAAGCATTCGGTACTGTGATCGTAGAAGCAGCGAGTTGTGGATTATACGTGGTTTGCACTCAAGTTGGTGGGATACCAGAAGTTTTACCAGGACACATGACCGTATTTGCGAAGCCAGAGGAGGATGATTTAGTGGCTGCAACTGGACGAGCTATCGCAGAGCTACGGGCAAACAAGGTTCGGACCGGAGATTTTCACGACCAGGTCAAGAAAATGTACTCCTGGACGGATGTAGCTAAGCGGACAGAGAGGGTTTACGATGGTATTTCGGGAGCTCTTAGTGAAGCAGACTTTTACGGTTATGAGGCAGCCGATGCCGCCAGTTGGAGTGCTACGAGGGGAAGAGCCGGGGTTCAGAGTTTTGCCCTCATCGATCGGTTGAAACGATATTATGGCTGTGGCATTTGGGCAGGGAAGCTATTCTGTCTCTGCGCTGTCATCGACTATATCATCTTTCTCCTCCTGGAATTATGGGCTCCCAGAGATGCGATCGACATTGCTAGGAATTGGCCGAAAAAAGTCAAACAAGAAAATCTAACAGCTGACGATTCTTCATTTAGACGTTGAATGGTTGCACCACCTTACGCACCACTCATATATCTCATATAGTCCGCAGCAAACACTTAGGTTCTACAAGATTCTGCAATGCAAGATCCAGGACATGTGGTTTGGAACGTTGGCCATGCGCCAAGTTCAATCAATTCCAGGTTACCCTATGATGACTGGGCAAATCACGAGCCCATCTACTCAGATCAAACTGCCGAAGGCCATTTGAGGATCATTCCAATCTGGAAAACTCCCATGGAAGCCGAGTAACATCTTTGGGTCTGTCGGCTATAAGCAATGCATTTTGGCTATCTCAGCTACAAATTATATGCATTTTACCCCACAATCTTTGATTACCGTACAACTTTCCTTCCTGCCGGAACCATTAATATTCATCTGGTCGGGCAGTTATCACATATTAAATCTCGATTTTAATTATCGAATGAGAAAATCTGGTTTGATGGATCGGTTTTATGTTCGACGGCATGGTTATCGGCAGTCTTTTGCACCCTGGTATAGGGCTACGATCATTTTTGGGATAACATGATATTTTCATCTTACCAGTAAGATGTGGTCACTTGACACGGTTACCGAGATTTGATGGTCACATAATTGCAGGCCATCATTTTATATTGTCAAAGAACTACCGGCACATTCAGGCAATGTCGAACGCTAGCTAAGATTGGATGTTACGGTAGCTTTCGAGCCTCAGAATAAGCATCGTGGCGTTATTGTTGGGATAAGAAGTTTTAAAATGAAGAGGAAGGTCTTGTTCCTAAATTTGTAAAGATCTGTTACTCTAGTTATTCTTTCGCCATGCTATCTATTTATAAAGGATTCTGTCTTTTGACATCAGTGCTGTGCCTCTTCACAGGAGAAGCAAGTGCTGATGCGCTAGGAGATCTTCAGACGAAAGGACGAACAGCCATCAATACTCAGCTCGCGAAGTCTACTACATGTACAGCGGCCAAGCTACAGGTTCGCAAGGAATGGTCAGTTAGTAGACATCTCGCTTTAACTTGACTTACATGGTTCAGGGGAAATGTCTCTGTCGCGGATCGAAAAGCGTACATCAAGGCTGTCTTGTGTTTGATGAGTGCACCATCGAAGTTGCCAGCTGGAAAGTTTCCTGGTGCCCAGAATCGTTACGATGATTTTGTTGTAACGCATATGCAACAAACTCTTCAAATCCATGGCACGGTAGGAACATGATTGGTCTTCTGAAGCCTATGCTAATATTTCCAGGGGAGCTTTTTCTCTTGGCATAGATATTATACTTGGGCTTATGAGCAAGCACTGCGTAATGAGTGTGGTTACAATGGAACCCAACCAGTACGTCTATCTTGACCATTGATATCATCGCTAAACCGTGCAGTACTGGGATTTTGGCAAGTGGACGGACCCTGAGAAATCACCAATCTTTGATGGTACGGATACTAGCATGAGCGGTAATGGAAAGAAGGTTTCTCATAAAGCCACCTCGGTCGGCCCGGCCCAGAATGGTGGCGGTTGTGTTGAGACTGGACCTTTTGCAAAGTGAGTCGTCGATACAGATCAAGGTTTCCTGCTAACGATGAATAGTATGACCGTTCGACTTGGGTAATGTTCCTGAACCATTATTCGTCTCAACCGCTAACATTTTAGTCCCGTCTCTCCTATGGCTGACCCTGCTCCACCAAAGAACCCTAGATCTGATGGATATGGAATCAACACGAGATGTCTTCGTCGTGACATCGGGCCATATCTCGTCTCCAAAGGATCAACCACTGCTATGATGGTAAATTTGATCACAAGCAAGACCACTATTGGCCCTTTCCAAGACACAATGCAAGGTGGAAATCCTGGGGTGCACACATCGGCACACTTCACCATAGGATCGGATCCGGGTGGAGATTTCTACACATCGCCCAACGATCCAGCTTTCTGGTTGTTACATGGCCAAATTGATCGACTATGGACTATCTGGCAAAGTCAAGATCTTCCTAATCGTATGCAAGTCATTGCTGGTGGTACTTCAATGATGGGTGGGGGTGCAGCGCAGAAGTTGACTGATAATATCGACATTTCCAATGTGGCCAGCAAGGTCTACCAGATTAAGGATTTGGTCAGTATCACTGATGGGCCGTTCTGTTATGTTTATGAGTAAGGTTGCCTTAGCTGGGGTGTTCGAACACTTACGATGCGGTTGTTGGCGCATATTCAAATACAAAGTCCCAATTTGCATCCTCATGTTGGAACTTCAACTTCAAGTTGATATTCTGTAATTCCACACCCATCTAAATCTTAGCAATCTTCTCCATAGCTACTTTTCTTGCATCCCATCACTTCTGGGCGTTAGACTGCTCGTGCAACACCGCGATGCTGTCCAATGAATGTTCCTCGAAGTTACCTCATTTGCTGACCGGATTCGCTTCTTCATCCCCCACTCTTGTCCTTGTCAACCAACAGTCACACCTGTCTTTATTTTCCAATCCGTATACTGACGTCGCACTAAACTTCCGAGTCTAAAGTTATTTAAACTTTGTTTACTGTCAAACATACCAACCATGAATCCAAGTCTCAAAGGGCAAAAGTTGCTCGTGATTCTGCAGTACGCACCCGATGAAGATTTCTTATCACGGGTAAAGACAAATCACCCTGATTTAGAAATCGTATGGCATAATCCATACACTGCAGGAGGTGGTGGAAACGGTGCCACCGCCAAACCATTACCCCAAGGCATTTTCAGCGATGTGACGATTTTGTGTACATGGAATTTCATACCAACTCCGGAAGAAGCGCCGAAGCTCAAGTTGGTTCAATTGACTTCTGCTGGTGCGAATCATTGTTATGAGCATGACGTTTATAAGGACAAGGGAATTGACTTCTGTACTTCGAATGGCACACATCCGTAAGTTGGTGTCTGATTTTCTAGAATGACTGCTGATTTTAATAGACCCCAGATTACGGAATGGGTGTTTGCCACATTTCTGTCGTTCCAACACAGAATACCTCGTTTCCTGGACGCTCAAAAAGAAGGCGAATGGATACGACCGTCACTTGATGTTCTAGACTCTGTCGGACAGAGGATGTAGGCTCTCCCATCACTATCACGACTGATCTGACTCTCCCAGCGGTATCCTAGGCTACGGAGCAATAGGACGGCAATGTGCACGCGTCGGCAAAGCCTTCGGAATGGACGTAATTGTCTATACGATGCGCGAAAAAACCACGCCTGAAGCCAGGAAAGACGACAGTTATAACGTCCCCGGCACTGGCGACCCAGGGGGACTTATCCCTTCAAAATGGTATTCCGGCACTTCCGCGGAAAACCTAAATGATTTTCTAGCCCAAGACATCGATTTATTGGTTATCTGTCTCCCACTTACACCATCAACCACGAATCTTATCCAGAAAGAACAATTCCAGATTCTTTCCAAGAAGAAAGCGTTCATCTCGAACATCGCGAGAGGGCAAATTATCAACACCCCGGATTTCATTGAGGCGCTTGAAAAGGATCTAATTCGAGGTGCAGCGGTCGATGTCACGGATCCGGAACCGCTACCAAAAGATCATCCGTTGTGGAAGGCGCCGAATATTTTCGTTTCGCCGCACGTGAGTTGGCATTCTAATAATCACCGGACGAGGTTGTTGGGGGTGTTGGAAACGAATCTGGGGAGACTGAGCGGGGGGAAGCCGTTGATTAATTTGGTGGATAAGGAGCATGGATTTTGATATTAGATCTAAGTTTTCTGCATTTTGATAATGGAGTTTTCAATGGAATAGAGATGTCCCTGTTTTCGATCTTGTAGTTGTGTTTGAACTTCTGAAGCAGAGAGACGTGAATACCATGTTGTTGTATCGGCAATACTGACAAAACGATTCGAAGATGGGTTCTTGTCGGGTTGAGTTTAATTCACCATCAGCCACATAACCACAAATCTAGAACGAGGTAGAAAAAAATTTCAATCAGCTTGGTCGTAATATCAAAACTTGCTACCATTACGTTGAGTAAACATATCTTGGAGACCAGTCGCCCAATTCTCTTATCTCCTCCTCACTCTTCCCTTCCATCTTCCAATCTTCCTTCCCTGCTGCTCGACGTGCATTGATTCGCTTGTAGTAGGTCGACATGAATGTAAAAATGCAAGCAGATGTGAAAACACAAGCAATTGAAACACCATACCCAGTGTAGTACTTTGGCCCATCACTAGTACTGTATAAGAATGGTACGGCAATTCCAGCCATATTTCCAATCATCAACTGCATACCAGTCGCCAAAGCTCGTTTCGCATATCTTGGCTTGTTACCCGGAAGCCATGCCAATGGCAGCCCTACCGAAACATAGAGACCCGTGGCCACCACGAAGCATCCAGTATAACTAACAGCCGCGCCAGCATTGGCAATTAGCATACAATACCCGACGACCGATATTATTGAGAAGCACGCAGAGTATATACCTCTCTGAAGCTGTTTATCACTAAAACGAGCCACGAAAAGATATATTCCTGTACCCAAAGCGTACACAGGAACGGTAAGTGCTTGAGCTTGTGGAGCTGTCCATTTTCCAATCCCTTTGATAATAATTGGTAAAAATGTGCTGAATCCATACAACATTATATCGTTTGTAAAAGCGGAAATGCTGAAGATCCAGAGCTGCCAATCTTTTGCGCCTTCTATCACATCTGACCAATGGAATTTCTCTGCTGATTCAGTTTGCCCAATCTCGTTTCGTCGAATGGATACAAGCAAAGCTCGTTCTTCCGGGCTGAGAAATTTAGCCGTCGCAGGACTTGTTGGTAAGATAAAATAAGTTGCGATTCCAGTTATCACGGAAGGTATACCTAAGGAATTAGTTGAGTTTGTAGAACGTGATGAGACACTTGCCTTCAAAGATCATCAGCCAACGCCAGGCCTTCAATCCTGCAAGTCCATCTGTAAATCCAATTCCGTACGCAATGAGCCCGCCGAGGACCCCGGCAAGTGCTGACGAAACAAAAAGGTATCCGACTCTCACAGCTAGATGATTTCTACCGTAGAACATGGAAAGATAAACAACCAGTCCTGGAAATAGACCCGCTTCAATCATGCCCAAAACTAAGCGAACAGCAATGAGTCCGCCATAACTTTGAACCACGCCAGTCAAGGTAGATATAACGCCCCACGCAGTGGTGATGAAAGCTATATATCGATCTGGTTTTACTTTTTTGATAATGAGATTTGACGGTACTTCGAAGAGCTAGATCGATAAGCGAGGTTCCAAATCGATGCAAATAGCTTACACAATATGTAACGAACAAAATCGAGACGCAAATTTGATATTGATTTCCTACCAAGCCTAGGTCTTTTTCTATGCCGTACAACTTTGCGCTTCCAATATTTACTGATTGAATCAGTATTGATACAAGCTGAGACTGAGGGAAATACCGCGATCCAAAAAGCTGAAAAGATAGAGGAGCATAATAACTGGGATTAGCTGTAAATCTAGTTTCCTGAGTAGCGCTTTCTCTGCTGCCTTGGTAATTTCCAAAGCTTCAATTGCTGATGCATCTTGAGCTGATGAAGATGTCGTGTCTGGGAAGTTTCTGTCGTCTATTGGTGCTGGCTTTTCAGCAAAATCTGACATTTTTACTCAATCGAGTCCGAGTTGAAATTACGTATCTTGGAAGACTTCGAACTAATAATTATGGTGGCGTTGAAACAATGTTAAAAGCTCGATCGGATATCTAAAGATTTTGCACTTGAACACTGTTATCTTATGTCTAGAGATTTACGATAAGACATTGGACAAGGTTACATGAGATCTTCCTCAGTTGAGCAATCATAAATCAGACAAGGAGGGGAAAGAGAAAAATCGCGGAGATAAGTAGCTAGCCCGCAAAGGTGGGTGTTCTCCGCGCTAAGCGAGCCGGCACTTCATTTTCTCTGACAGGATGGCAAATTAACGCCGACGATTAGCAATGTGGAGTGAGAATTGTTGAATTTCAAGCTTACGGGAATACGATTTTAGAAGAGTTGAGCAATATCAGAACTTTCCGCTTTTGCTTCCGTTCCCAAATTTCCGCTTTCTCCAAATAATCTAACCATCCTAAAATTCGTCATCAAGATGTCTAACAATATCGTCGTGCTACCTCGTCCTTCAGAGACTCCGAGTACTACCCCACCTTCAATAAAGGCACCTCCCGAAGCCACTTTCATCGAAGCTTTCGGTAACCTATTGCCACCATTATATCTGCAGACACCCATCGGAAGAGCCGCGTATTACGAGCTACTACCCTCGGTGGACAGCAGGCAGGATTCCATTTCCCGTGTCCTTTTGGTGCACGGCATTCAAACTTGTGCGATTGGCTTGCAAAGGTTGGCAAGCGAGTTGTCCTTGCGTTTCCCTCATGCTCACATTGTGTGGTTCGATCTTTGGGGACATGGGCTTACGGACACGCCTTATGTTGCGCATGAGCCGAAGCTATTCCATTCATTATTGAATAGTTTGATGGCGCATCTTGAATGGGAGAATGCTCATGTTGTCGGCTATTCGTTTGGCGGGTCGACAACAGTCACGTTTGCAAATGCATATCCAGAGCGAGTTATCTCTATGGTATTGATCGCACCAGCTGGACTAATGCGTACTGCTCAATTTAATGAGTTGGAGAAAAGTTACTTGGGTGGCGGACCCGAGGAACAAGCGCAAGCCTGGATTTTGCAATGGCTGGAAGGCGGACAATTGATTGTACCTGCAAATTGGAAAGAGAGAGTCGGCAGAGGAGAATTAGTTTCAGAGGCAGTTCGAGACTGGCAAAATAGAAATCACGAAGGGCACAAAGCCAGTGTGGTTTCTATGTTCAGGGATGGTGGGTGTTTCGATACACATGATGAATTTGCCGAAGTGGCGAAAAGGGGTCTTAACATAAAATGCATTTTGGGCCAACTAGACGATGTTTGCAGTGAGCAGGATCTTTGCGATGTTGGGATACGGAATGTTAGTGTGATCCCAGAAACAGGACATGGAGTAGTGAGGGAGAATGTGCCTGAAGTTGCTGATCTTATCGAGGTCTTTTGGAGGAAAATCTTGTAGAATTGGGACAAAAGTGTAAGCCACTAAACTATCAAAGGTATATATGTGAAGAGCCCATCTGTATTCGTGCTCAAAACATTATCTATAAATCAGAGTTCCAATCATGAAAATATTGGGCTGCAGGAAAGTTCCCTGTTCCAATTTCTATGGCTAGGGATACCAAGCTGATTCTCCTCTTGTTCTAGAGACTAGCAGGGAAACTATGTTGTGGTTTTCATGGCAAATATGCAGGGTAAATCAACAGAGCATCCAAAAGATGGCTGGTATCCAAACGTCATACCCCTCTTCTGTTGTCGTCTATTTTTCTACTGGAGTATGTGGCGTTGAATGTGTTTAAACAACTAAGTGTTCTATCAGGTTTATTGCAAAGAGAAGCTACACAAAAATATGTACACCTAAGGCGTAAAAGTAGAGTATCACTGTTCTGGCTGGCACATCTCAATCTGACCTTCAATCGCAACGCCAGGACTCCACAAATTTCTTGTCGCCGGCTTATTAGCTTTCAGAATTGTCACCTAGAGGACATCGGAAGGTCAAGGGTTTTATGTACAGTGGAAAAGGTGGGATCAGCACTTTCTCATAATTTGAAAGAATTTCTGCAAAATAATCTGCAAAATAATACGGAAAATAAGTACGTCGACTTCGAAGTTCCAAGTAGATGGGGTGGACCTTTTCTGGATATCAGTTCAAAACTCCCGTCTACTTGTACCCGTAACATTTTAAGAGTTACATGGCACGGCGTTAAAATTATTCTTGCTGGTTCATTGACATTTCTCTCCATAGAACATCTCTATGGCCATCTGACATTAGACCTACGCACAACGAAATAATTTGTGTACCTCTAATTTGTTGTGTCTTTTTCATTTTCCATTGTGAAATATACAATTTATTGTTTGGATGGCGACAAAGTTCTTCTTGCTTGTGAAAACTCATGGATTCAAAAAAGATTTCCGAGTATTGTCCTCCTCATTCAATTACACATTAGATTTTATAATACAACCATCTGTTCTTACAATCACCGACAATATATACAGAGATTATCCAAATCGTCACCTGTAAAAGGTAGATTGGCTGATACAGATGTACGAATGAATAAACACAGGCACTCCAATCGGACCTTGATATACGTCTATGTTTCTCCTGATCTAATAATCTCCACCATACCATGTGTACAACAAGCTATATACGAGTCGCGATTGCGTTGGCAGATTATTTAAGCGAGTCGCCCCCTTTTCACTTGTGCGGAAGGGTGCCAGTTATTAGCCGCGAATCTTGCCATCGGTTGAGCAAACCGCGGAAAAAAGATCGGCAATTCTCACAAATCGAAGTTCAGCCAAGTATGTAGACTTATGTCTCTTTTATTCGTCGGAAAACAGCGTTGAACTCTTCTTACTCAACAGGGTTTTGTCTTCCGAGCTTTCCATACTCAGTAAATGCAACAGGAATTCTGTCGCCAGTTTTTGTGGCCGGCGTCTGATACCGCTTGTCAGAATATTGAGTTCTTGATACACCAGCACGCATCTCCTGGCTGGCAGTATTGTATTTAGCAAGAACCACACCGAGGTATTTGCGACTATAAGCGGCCTGGTCTCTCGGCAAAGGGCGATGTGTGCACTTTCACTATCTCTTAAAGTTCTAGGTCGATAGACGCTTTTGCTGAGCATGGAGCAAAAACGTTGGGCACTTGAGCAATAACCGAAGTCATCTCCTGTTTTGAAACGGTCAGCTTTAGAACACATCATTTTTTTTCCAGTCAAAGATATGTTGGATAATGCTCCTAAGCGCTTCGTTTATTCTGGCACTTTTGGAATAGCAAGATCGAAGCAAACTTTTGAATGAAGCGAGTAGAGCGTTGAAGCAATAAAGGTTCAAGAGACCCACGAGTCTCGGTCACAATCCGACGTCGTTCATCTTGCTCATCCGTTTCGATTGAAGCAACAAAGTTTCCTGCACAACAGGTTTTTGATGAATTTCAATTTTGATCCAGTATTATCGGCAGTAGCTTCTTCAACTTCCAGTGGTTCTCTTTCTTGGATTTCCATTCTCTTGTCTGATGGTTTTCCATTCGAATTCCCACGGTGAAATGGTTGTCCGCCTGTCTGAGAATACGACGGTTGAACATGTTGTTGTACGACAGTAGATGTTTCTTGGTCGTTAGTGCTCTCGATATTTCGAGATTGTCGCTTGTCATCGCTTTCATTCAATGTTGAACGAATTGAGCCTGGTATTATTGCGAGGGTGTCCTGATGTTCCGCTGGCAGGAGATCTTTTGTTCTTACATCTTCTAATTCCGAATTTATATGGCTTTCTTGAGCTTCTAGTTCTACAACATGGTAAGGTGCGAGATTTGAGGTACCAGGGAGATTGTTTATGGTTGTGGATAGTTCTTTGTTTAGAAGAGAACTAATACCGTGCCGATCCCGAAGTAAAGTTTGCTCAACTTTCACTGACTGGTCTATCGAAGGGGTTGGGTCTCCAACATTCTCCGATGGATAATTCTCTTCTTTGTTGACATCATCTTCATCGTCTTCACCATCTTCAGCGATAGACGTCCTCCCCTTCTTGGCATCAAAATGGACTTTTCTGGTAGCCGGTGACTGTGGTCTTGAGCCGTATGTCTTATTTGGAGACTGCGGCCGAGAATGGGCCTCAGACCCAAACGTGGTCGATGTAGGTGTGGCTGTCAAGTTCTGATCGTACGCCACTGCGACTGGGAGAATTTGTTCGAGGTCGTTATTTGTCCTTATCTCCTCTGGTAACTTTCGTAAACCGTCTGATCTCTGAATCATATAAATAGGCGACTCTTGTGTTGCTTCCTCAGGATCATCAATCATCAAGCTATGCCTCGTGAACTCTTTATCTTTGGAAGGCAGACTGGGCTCGACAGGGCCATCATGCACGGGCGGGCTGCTTCTCATCTTATTTTGACGTCTCATCTGCTCCGGAGATACATCGATCGGTGCAGCCTCAAGTGTAGACAAATTAGTGCCATGCCGAACTGGTATAGCTTCCCTTCGAAGACATGAAAACTTTGCATCCTTGACACATCGCTCATGGAGTCTGGAAAGTTTCATGACGATTTTATTGCAAGCGAGTCTGTTCCGGGGGTTCATCCGGAGCAGGTGGTCTTTAATGAAATTCAGGAACTCTACCATATAGTCCGAACAATTTTCTCTGTCGTACAATTTATTACATTGCTAATGATTTCCAAGTCAGCAATTTGAATAGTCAAACACTGACGAGATGAAAGCTTACGTTAACAACGGATTCTTTCAATCTAGCTCCTATTTGTCCGTTCCTTTCTTTTAGATAAACTAAAACGAAGAAAGTGTCTTCTTTCACTTGATTATTATCCTCGTTCGTGCGAATTTCAGAAAACTCGTCTACTTCAGGCCAGCCTGATAGAAACCAAGTAACAAACTCCAAAAGGACACATCCCAATGTCCATATGTCGTAATTTTGTGAAACAGCCTTCATGACATCATATTCGGGAGCACGATAGGTAGGAGAATTTCCAACAGTCTGGGCATTGATACCGGATTTTGATCTGTTTCTGTGGAAGTCCGTCAAGCCAAAGTCGGAGATCTTCAAAACACTGCTTGAAGGTGTACCTTCGACTTCATTGGGATTTTCGAACCAAAGGATATTTTCAGGCTTGAGGTCCCCATGTCTTCCATGGAGTTGGTCACTAGAGCCTTTTTCTGAACTGGACTCCAGCTGTACAACTGCTGAGTGTATTGCTTCCAAGCCTTGTGCTATGCCGAGGCATTGTTCAGAGAACCACAAGACCCAGTCATAATCTAATTTGGCTGGCACAGTGTTGCTGGGGGTCGGGTACTGTATCCAAAAGTCTCGGAGATTCCCATCTGCCCAAGGAAAAATGAGGTAGTATTGCTCTCGGTATGCAAAGGTTCCCAATAATGTGATGATATTGGGATTGTCTTTTTTGTTCAAACGTTTCAAACTAGATACTTCAGCTTCAAAAGCTTGTGGGTCATCCCGTAGAAATCTTTTGACAGCGTATGAGGGATTCTTTTCGGGAGCCGCCTAGATTTCCAAGTTAGCTTAATCATATAAAATCAGAAGATTTTATAACGCATAACGCGACCTACAGTGTCTTCGCAGCAGTTATGACATTCTGGATGAATTTTAACTCTGAAAACCTCGCCAAACCCACCACGTCGTCTTGTTGGGTCTTTTTCAATGTAAGGCAAAATAATTTTAGCGCCAAAGTCGTAGTGAAGAACTTCGGAATGTTTGCTTGTGCTCAGCTGAAAGTATGGAGAGAGAAGCTGAACTTGTTTTTCAGCAAAGGATTCTATTGCCCATTCCGGCCAGGTAGCGAACAATTCGATTAGGTTCGTTGGGTTTTGGTCGGTCTCATTGGGCAGCGCCAGCTGCGGACACCCATCAGAGCTGTTGAATAAAACAAACGGTAAGTGACTATCATAAAGACCCGCTTCCACGAAGGCTTTTATTTCATTCGTTTTGCCGATAAGCGAAAGAATGGCGAAAATTCTTAATCTAGTCGTTTTGCGACTTTGAACGAACGGCGATGACGACGTTGAGTAGATGTCCCAGATCTCTCCTACCAAGTTCTCTAATTCATCCTGACTACCTGAAAATTCCTTCGCGACTTCCTGACGAATGCGACTTCTCGTAAGGATTCGATGAAGGGAGCCAATCGGCAGGAAGTCCTTTCCGCCATCTCTGCCAGCAGATTTCCGCAGTGACGAACGAATTAACTTGCCTAGCTTAATTTCACTGGAAGATGCGATGGGGATAATTGGATCATTAGGAGCACCTGCGGCCAGCACGGAAACGTCTTCGGGTTTAGTAGAGCTAAGCGGGTTTTCGCCATCCTCGGAGCTAATCGGTCGCCGAACTGTTGTGAGGTATATCGTGTCTCCAAGATCATGAATCTCATTGTTTTCTGACATGCGAACTGGATTTGTTACTCTAGTACGTGGTGCCTCACGTTTCGGTGGTCCATGTGCAGGGTCGTCTTGAGGGACATCCATAGATGCAGAAGTCGTCAATAACGGCAACCAATGCAGAATTCGGGTTTGACAATGAGATATTCATTGGGTGTCTTATAGTGGTTGCTTGCTGAGATTGCGTGCAGATCCGGAGCCTCATCATGCAAGTGCTGAATTTAACGTGGCTCTCGCGCTGAGTGTCCTGTGGGCAGCGGTGTCTTTTGCGGCTGGTGGCGTTGGGATTTCTTTTTCTTCCTGATCTCCCATCCACATTCGGGAGCTCATCGATTATTATTACCTCTTTTGATGGGTCATCTGAGTAAGCTAAAAGACCACACGGCAGGCTACTCGCTAAGCACAGAACTTGGCCAATGAAATATTCAATACTCAGCTATATTGGTATTATCGGTAAATTGCTTTTTGTTGGAGGTGTGGCTACACAAGTAAGGGTGGTTTTCGACACCCACCGAAATCGCCCTTCATTGTTCGTCTTGAAAAAAACGCTACTGATGTTCGCAGGGGCTTTCTACCTCTCACATACAAAATCTTGAAAAGCGACAACAACATCAACACCTGGCATCTTGTTGACTCACGGAAGTGAGTCGGAGATGAGTTGTTCAGCAGGAGGATGTCTCTCGTCCCCCATGCTTTTACACGTCTGCCATATTTGGTGGCGTTTGTATCCCCTATCGAGAGCATTCTCCCAGACAAATCTGCCTCGCGTAGTCGCTGCAAACCCGAAGTGTGCCTTGCATTCAAATCCCGCCCCTCATACCGTGTTTCAGTGCTTATGGCCATGTGTATATGAGGTGGTCATTTGCCTGCGAGCTTGTGTTTGTACTCCGAGTTTTCGGGTCTTGAAGCATTCCCTCTGTCGTTAAAGACTCTGGTTCACGCAAAATCAAGCTATCCATCCGACGATTTATTCCAACTTCACATCTAGGTTGTAACTTATTGATTCTACGCCCTTACGAATGGCAGCTGCTGCAGCTTTCGCAGAAGCCGGAAAGTCACCTGTTGGAGCCCATATGGAAGTAAAGAAAGAGCTGCATGCGAGATATGCTACACCAACGAGTCTATGGAACGAGCTCTTCAATCTTCTTGGCGCTGACGCTAAGTTTGAGATACAGGTAAAAGAAAACAATGAAAAATTCTCACTATTAGCATATTTAAAAATTTGGCAGATGCGGCACAACGTTTACAATATCGTGTCCTCCAAAGAGTTCGACATGGTGAGTAGCACCGTTAATCTTGTATATCGTGGATTGTTCGCTGATGAATTTTTCAAATACAGACGATATTACGGGAGAAGTGTCAACAATATCGATCGAGATAACGCGGTCTCATCGTACTCTATTCGCTCATAGAAGCATCACCGCCTGGTATATCAGCATTATTTCAGGCGCGTTGAGAGCCGGAAGTGGCCTGAATAGACGCGAAGGTCAAGGGCAGTCATATGGTTCATATAGATTTCGGCATTTTTGGATTTCGATACCGCTCTAACAGACAGGGCTTGTTTTAAGGAGTTTCGGGCAATTCTTCAATCTACGTTTAACCTTAATGTGGGCGCTTAAAATTTGCCATGGGCAAGGGTGTTTTAGTTCGAATCAACTTATGACGAGACCCACTGTTTTTTACGGTCAGGAAACCTGGTATTGAAAGGGCTATTATGGATGTGACCATTGCGCACTGTGCGTAGAAAGCATTCAGATTTTGCATCATGCACGAAACTGTGATAAAAACTTTGAACCCCGCGGGTGTAAAGAGGTATATTATATTTCCAATGATCCGAAGTTCATAAAAACACCACAATTTGAATGAGTTCATGAAGCAGAATCTAGCTGTCGATGTTTCGACTGGCGATAGGTGACAAAGTACCACCAAACACCAACCGTTAATACCGTACATGCGACTGCCACAACAATGTAAATCCAGAAATAGCTTGAAACAATTTGCCCATCCGTCGCCGACCAGTTGAAAAAGGTCATTGAAAAAACCGTCTGGAATTTAAGTTAGCACGGTACTCCTGCTAAAATAAAAGATATCTATAATTACTGCGAAAAAGGTTCCAGGAAGGAAGATCATCGTAACGAGAGCAATAGATCTCATGTGACTCGAGTCTTTACTTGTAGAATATGCTATTTCAACGTTTGTTTCGCCTTGTGCCTGTTGAAGTTAGCCCATTGAATATACCTCAAGGGCTGAATCTGTACCCATTGTGTTGCCATTGCCATTCCATCAACCCGCATTGTACAGTCTCTAATCTTATCATCATATTCATCAATTATAGATTGAACACGGTCATGTATCTTGTACCCAACGCGTGCAAATTGCTCCAGTGGTGTTGAGAAATCCATGTTTGGTTCGGAAATTCTCGACTCCGTTTCGTGCTGACCATGCTTCTCATCCTTTAGCAAATCTGAGAGCTCTGACTCCACGTAGGGGCAATTTTCGCTGTCTTTACTAATCCTGTCTTCCCACTTTTCAGATCCTTTATTAGATGAAGTGCTATCGAAACTCTTACGCTGCTGGTCTTTTCGTGTCAAATTCCGGAGGGAACAGACGTTACCAGTTTCTATATTAGTTAATTCTTCAGCATGTTTTGCAATCTTTGCTAACTGTGTATTCCAGCTTATAAGTCCATTTCGTAGGTAAGTCGTGTCCAACCAAGCTGACCTCTTTTCCTCATTGCGTTTTTCTGTTTCGGACTCTTCTACATTTTGCATCTTCGACGAGCCGTTCAATTCGAAGATTTTGGTCTCCAGATGGTCTATTGTGGCTTCCACTATATGTATATGTCGTGATCTCTCGAGCTCCACTAGTATTCCAGGTATAAGAAGGGGGTGGGAAGCTTCAGTGGCACTCAAACCAGATCCTAGTCGTCTCAATACTTCTCCTTCTACAGATAATGTACAGCCGAACAGAACAGCAAAGGTCAATCCACAATGAGGAAAGTAAGTTGATGTAAAAGCAAGATCCAAGTCCCAGGCATTAGATGTACGACAATTATAAACTGCCATGGTCAGCAACTGATCAATGAAATTTCTTCGACGATAAATCATACCAATTGCTGGATAGTTCCTACCAGTCGAGTCGTTCATTTGTATCTCAGCAGAAGAGAACAGTGGAACATCAGCCCGACTGACTGCTCGAGCTATTGAAGCATGAATATGAAAGCGCTTGGCTACCAGTTGGAATGTTTCTTTGGAGAAAGGCAGTGTTCGCACCCCTCGCTTTCCTTTCATAGCGTGAAGTCCAAGTTCTGGAACAAGAACTGCCTCTCCTAACTGTGAAAATGTACTGGCTCTTTGGATCTTGGTGTTACCTTGAGGCTTCTCACCTATTTCGGCGAGCCAGTTGTCTGAATTGACCCGCTTGACAATCGGTGAGGACTTTTCCCCGGCGCGCTTCGCCAAACTTTAAGTAATTGTTAAACTTGCTTCAAAAATAACACACAAGAGCCTCATACATAAGAACCAGGCCTGATTCCTGTCCGTCGATCCTCGGACATTCCTATACAGTCAAGACTTGGTCAGATAAACCCAACAAACTCTTTGAGGAAATCTCACTGTTGAAGCCCAATCTTCCCATTCGTGTTGTTCACGTAACGACCATACTTCTGGTTTCTAGGGAAGAATCAGCTTGATCGAGGCAAAGCGATTTTCGGCGCACCTTATCTGTATCTGTCATCATCCGGACTACTACTGTTGATTTTTCTTCATATTTGAAAACATTATCAAGGTCCTTAGCACTTAGTCCGACGTTATCACGAGCCCAGTCCATTTTGTTGTGCGCAATTCTTGTTGCGATTCGAACTATATGATACTTACATCGTCAAAATGCAATTTTCAACTCTCGCCAGGTTCTAGGAAGCTGAATCAAGCTCGGGTACTGCATGTACACAGCCCCCGGACATGCAGGGCGTTCAATTGGTCATTCGATACAGGCTTCCCGATTAATTCGCGCCACCACCCTCATCTGGCCGCCTGATCGAAATCGAGCCTTGCGTCGATTCAAGTGATCTTTCCTAAGGGACTGCCTTGTCCTCAATGCACTTAGGGCACAAGCTGAATCAATTGCCGCAAACCTCTTATTCAATCTGTCAGCCCGGAAAATGTCTTTCCAATTAGAAGGGTGACACAGTTCGTTGCCACTTTGTGATACCAACACACCTCACGCCTGCAGCCTGCTTACAGCGTGGACGTGGCACTGCTTGGTTCTGTTGTTGAAAAGTTTCTGCTGCGAGTAATGAAACACAGGCAGCCTTGTCATCAAGGATTATATAGCACAGGTAGCCCAGTAAAGCCAGCAGTCAAAAACTCTGACAGGACTCACTAAACACTATTACCTCCCCACTACTCGTCCCGATAACCCAAATCACAATGCATACATCTTTTGTCAGAGCGACCTATACGGAACAAAAGGAGGTCGAACAGTTTCTCGCCAATCTTTTCGGTTACGGCAAATGCGAAGTTATCGTGAGGCAACCCCACCTGCTTTTTCAAATTTGTGGCACCTATTGATGAATCATTGACAGTGGACTCGTGGTCGATTTCAATGCAAAACCCCAAGGATGATGACACCGGTTAGTACAGTCAGTTTCTAGAGGCTTACCACTCACCATGTATATGCAGAATGAGCTCTCGATGCTACAGGAGACGCTTCGGGAGGGACATTACCAGCAATCCTGATAAGGAAATTAGAAACTTTATATATGAAAACTTGAGCATTAGACTTGGGTGAAGACGCAAGTGTCAATCGTAAAGAACTCGAAAGCCGATTTGCCATGTTCCGGTGTCAAAGATTGCGCGAAATAAGATATCACAACTTGTTGTGGATAGTTGAACGTAACCGTTCCAGCGCTGGTAACTATCGTATAGAGAAACAACTATAAAGAACAACTACACGTTCAACAAAATGACCTTCCATGCTGCAATTTTCCATCCGTTTTACCTTTCTGCCGATTCCCTTTGACAAATAATGTCTGCATCAAGAGAAGAAATCAAGCTCGCCGCTTGACACCAACTGACATGAACACTTACTCCATTCTCCTTAAACTTTCAACTGTCATTGAGTTTCGAGTTCTGCCGTCGTGGACGCTGAGGTGTGACCTGTTGTTATCGAGCATATTTTGCGCGTTCTCATTCAGTAAAACGGCTACCGGAACATTAGGCTGAGGAGTGACTGGTGTCGGGATGCCCTGCACACAATAATCATGACTTTCATTGGCCCTGCAGAGCTTATTTATCTCGTGGAACGCCTTCTTCAACGCCGTTGAAGTGTGTCTCTTCTTCTCCTCAGATAAGACGACGAGCATATGGTTCTCTATAATGTTTAGGACATCGTGAACAAATTTCGGGCACTTCTTGTGTGCGTGTAATTGGGCAATCCACTAAAAGATCCGTTAGCTATGATGATCATAGACCAAGTGCCGCCTAGGGGCAACTGTTACACGATGAACTTACCTCAGTTACTGATTGTTTGACTTGAGCTACAACAGGCACTTCCCCTCGAGTTGTCTTGATTTCGAAAAAGATGTCGTTCTTTGAGCCATTAATATAAACGGACATCCGCTTTGCCTGGAATTCGTCTAGCATTTGTTGACCACCCAGCAACCAGGTAACTAGTTCCAAAAGAAGACAACCCATGGTCCAGACATCAAATTGCCGTGAGACCATGCCACCCTCTATTTCACACTCAGGTGGCCGATAACCGGGCGCACCAGGCAGTGCGTGGCCGGGAACATTTGATCTGCTTTTGGCGCTGTTGAAGGCTGATAAACCCATATCAGATATCACAAAAATGCCATTTGGATCTCGCGTGGTGTGAAACCACAGAATGTTATCTGGCTTTATATCTCCATGTCTGCCATATTTCTTTACTCCTGCAGGCAGATTCAGGTGATCTGGCTCGTGGATAGTATGCATTGCCTCGATGAGGCCAAGGCATTGCTTAGAAAACCACTGAACTGTGGCTAAATCTAGGCTCGGCTGTGGAATTTTGTCTCTCCAGTATTGATCAAGAGCATACTCAGCATAAGGAAAAAGGAAGTGGAATCGTTTCTTCAAAGTGAATGTCGCTAGAACGGTTACTAAGTGATCATGCACTAAGCCACTAAATCGCTTTAATTGCTCGACCTCGTTCAGATATTGCTTCTCGTTGTTGACTGGACCATCGCGAAGAACTTTTAATGCAAACCGATCATCATTCAGGCATATCTAGCAACAGTTTAGAGAGCTGTTTCCACGTGTTTGTGAGGAGGCAAAAATAAGAAACTCACAGATTTTAGAACCTTTTGGAAGCCATGACTGGAAGGATCGATGCGAATCTTGGCTACCTCGGCGTATCCACCTTCATCCTTTGCAGGTTCAGAGTTGCTATCGATAGAGCACCCTTCCTCCCAAGGTATCCAAGGTAAAATTGTTTTGTCAGGAAAATTGTAGTCCTCCGGTCGTCCCTCACTGTCAAGCTTAAAGTATGGAACTAAGACTGTCCACTGATGAGTAGAAAACCATTCTTTTTCAGATGTTTTCCACCCAGTAAATTTCAAGTCATCCGTGCCTCCAGAACAGTGTAGGGGCAGACTTTCATCACAAACATTTTCCCGAATGAAGTCCCCGATTTCGTTTTCTCTGTCGAGCAGTAGCAGCAAGGCAAAGATTCTGAGATATGATCCCTCCTTTGATCGTGAACTGACATCTTCTTTAGGTCTGATTTGGTCGATATATCCGCAGATTCCAGTGTGTTTTCGAAGTTGGTTCAGGATCCGCTGTCTTGATAGGATGCAATTCAGAAGGGCAAATGACCAGAAACCGAATTCATTCTGATTCGTCTTGGCTATGCTGTATTGCCTCAGTAGATTTCCAGGCTCGCGTGGGTCATTATGGTCAATGACGGGAAGTCTTTCTCTCGCGGCTGAAAGATCCACATTTTTCAGAGAACTTATAAGGTCTGTCATACCAGCCTGCCTGGGCGTATAACTCGCTTCGACTGGCTTCCCATCGACCAAAATCTGTGGGTTTGTGATCAGGTCATCCATTTGAGCTAGACTGAAGACTCGCAAAGGAGGCAAGGTAATAATTAGCTATTGCGTTGGTGTTGAAAGGGTGCACAACTGTATTTAAAATGTCTTGCGCCAATGTGGCATATAGTCAACGGATGAAGCGAGTAGGACGATGCCGCTATTTAAATGTATACCAAACGCAAACTTCTCCTTCCGTACTACACCGCACATAATTTCAAACTCTTGCTGCCCAACAAGAGTTCCTTCGCAGAGCCTCATCATCGGGGCTGGGGCAATGCAACTCTGTGATGATAGAGTGCAGGCCGGCAGCCTCAACAAGCATTTAACAAGCTCATGACGTGCTGCAGCTTCCCTGCTGCTATCTTATGCTTAGATTGGTCGCAAGGCGGTAAAAATATGCGGGAGTTTCCGATGCTTGAGAGACTTTGAATGTCGCCTTGATCAAGCGCAACGATACCAGGCAAAATGTACGCCACCTGATACTGAGCGTGGGGTAGCCGGGTCGGTGAGCGGAAATGGAAGTAGACGTAACAAAAGCAACAAGTGTCAAAAGATTCTAGGCAGCTGCTTTGTCAAGCCCAAGCCGTTTCCGAAAGCAAGAAGATAAGTCCAATCATTGTATTTCCGAAATTCCGGACGTTAACCTCATTTCTCTTGTCCATAAGGCTGCATCCGTCCAGGAGCTTTATAGCTGTCTCAGTTCAGGATCTGCTTTGACGCTTCTAAGAATCAGAATGCAGGTAATGCTGAATAGTTGAATTGTCGAACCAGAGAACTTGGCAATTGATGAGCCAAAGCTCGTAATTTTGTCCTTGTTTTAGCTTTCGCTGATTGGGTTCCAGCTTATCAACGTTATCGTAAGCCCAGGAAGAAAAGCTCACAAGCTTCTAACGCAGCTGGCTCCTTTTCGGTAGCCATACACTCCGTACAGACACTGAATACTGATGAATAGCAATATGGGGGGTGGTTGAAGTTGGGCATGAAAGACGACATATTCATGAAGAAAGCACTGAAAGCGAAAGGGGTGTAGCAATTTGACTTATTGCAACTTGGTATAGGTCAATGACCTAACGCAAAAGCTGAGTGAGTGAGTATTGACGAGCTGATATTGAGTATCTATCGGTATGCAACAGTCACGGAGGACTGATAACATCCAAGAAGTAAACCTCCTCGATGACCGAGCTAACCGGGAAAGTGCTAGCGGCGGTGACTAAGCGAAGCTAAATCCATTGAGGATTGTGAAGGGGTGTCGCGATCGTCATCCTCTCCATTCCAGCACCAGCGAGAACACCAGAGATAAAAGAGACATTCCTCCGTCATGGTAGGAATAGCTGAGTGAATCGAACGATCGTTTCACTGCCTGACTAAGGCGCACACGCAGCTTCCCAATGATGCCTCGAATCCTCTATTTACAGTACCGCATATCGAACAACATCTAGTATCACGGAATTCCTTCTTTTTTCTAGGCCCTTCTTAGCTATGGCTCATTTGGATCAAGTTGGCAAGTTGGAAGGATGCCATCAATTGAACAACTGCAATACAACGGGATAGGCGCTAGGGAACTTGTCAGATCTTCCAAACCGCGATTCTCTGCTGGAGCTCTGCCATGTTCTGCTTTCGATATTCGGAATCGCCTGGGACTTGTTGGAATACTCTCCAGAAGATATGGGGAGAGATATGCATTTCAGAAGAAGGTTGGCTGGAATGGGTTCGAAGGTCATTGTGCATTGGCAGTATTTCCAGAGCGCTATGTTGGCTATTGACCCTCTTTCTAGAAACTGGCATTTGTAGAGCTGATTGCATTGCGAGTGCAATGTTTGACGATACTCAGTTTCTTTCCGACTACCTATCTGGCATATCTGGACCATTTATCGCACGCTGTTGGGCGAGTCCATAAACAAGCTGATCAACACAACGCCGAACGGGATCTCGATTGCCCAGGCCGTTCTGTCATTAAACAAGCTTTCGTTTGTATCATTCCGGATGCTTGTCTTCTGAAGTTTCACTCTGCGTTGTTTATTTGATTTCGGCTTGTTTCAACTGCTGGTTCCACCCCAATCGGAAAATATTTGTCCACAGGCATCCTTGCTCTTATAATTTCTACTTCAGACCTCTAGCCAAGGGATGAGATTTAAGTCTGATGATGCTCCACTACTTTCACTCAAGTGTAGTCCACTTGCTTATTTCCGAATCTTAAAGTCATCGGAATAATCGACCACAACGCGTCCCAATATATCTGGTGCATGTATTGTGGAGAACGAAAATGAGCTTATTATCCCAGATTCCCCTCATCATACAACATATTCAGTATTTTCACATTGCGCCAGGCTTCGTGTAACTCTACACATTCCGTTCGTTTCTGTACTTATCCTTGAGATAAATTTCGTTCTTTATTCAATCATGAGATTTACTACATTTTCTATTTTAGCAGGCCTGCTTCTACCAGGCCTCGCAATTGCGCAATTATCTGGAACCGTCGGTCCATCAACCAGCACCGCACACAAAACTGCGACCAAAATATGTAACGTCCTCAACTATGGAGCAATTGCCTCAAAAACATCGGATCTTGGTCCTCCTCTCGCATCCGCCTGGGCTGCGTGCAAATCGGGTGGACAAGGTTAGTACATATAGCTGAAGTATGGAATACCTCTTAATGTTACCTTGCAGTATACATTCCTCCTGGAGATTATGGGATGTCGACCTGGGTATTACTCAAGAGCGGGACGGCAGTTTCAATAAACCTTGATGGAATAATCTACCGCACGGGGACAGCTGCTGGAACCATGATCTTTATCGAACACACTACCGATTTTGAAATGTACAGCAGCACATCCAAGGGCGCTGTCCAGGGCTACGGCTATGTTTTCCATAAAGCAGGGGCTTACGGGCCCCGTATCCTACGATTATACGACGTTACCAATTTCTCCGTCCATGACCTCGCTTTGGTGGACTCTCCAGCTTTTCACTTTTCTATCGACACGTGCTCGAATGGGGAAGTATATAATATGATCATCCGAGGTGGCAACGAAGGAGGCCTCGATGGAATCGACGTGTGGTCGACAAATATCCATATTCATGATGTCGAAGTGACGAACAAGGACGAGTGTGTGACCGTCAAGAGCCCTTCCAAAAACATTCTCATCGAGAACGTTTTTTGCAATTGGAGTGGTGGCTGTGCAATCGGCTCCCTCGCGGCAGGAACCGATATCTCGGATATCGAATACAACCACGTATACACCCAAAACTCCAACCAAATGCTGATGATCAAGTCCAACGGCGGAAGTGGAACTCTCAAGAACGTAATCTTCCAAAACTTTATGGGACACTCCAACGCCCACGCCATCGATTTGGACTCCGCTTGGTCGTCTATGAGCACTGTAGCAGGCAATGGTGTTGGTTATTCCAATATCACATTCGATTCTTGGCACGGAACAGTCACAAATGGCGCTAATAAACCTCCTGTGCAAGTTTTCTGCCCTGCTGCCGTTCCATGCACGGGCATTACGATCTCCAACAACTTTATGTGGACTGAAGCTGGTAGCAAGGTATTACAGAAGTGCTCGAATGCTTATGGTAGTGGTGCATGTCTGTCATCCGGAGCAAGTCACACCAGCTATGCGACAGTTACGAAAACAATCACAAGTGTGGCTAGTTATGCAATTACAACTATGCCAGGAGAGATTACTGCTGGACTGGGGATCAGTACTAGCATCGCGATTCCGGCTGTGCCTACAACATTCTTCCCAGGTGCCAAGCCAGCAAAGGCTTTACTTGGTGCAAGTTAGGTGACGAGATATCCATTGATAAAATAAACGAGTTTGATCTCAGTTGCAGGTCACGCCTCTTGGGACGTTCGCCCATATTCAAAACACTAGAAAAGCCATGACCATTACACAATGCTTCCACAATGCTTCGCCCGTTGAAATGGTATCACATTACCGACATTTATTCCTGCATGCGCCTTACGAGTGTTTTAGCAGCCGCAGCTCGGTTACGATTTACCCCATATCAGGGCCGGCTATAGGCTAGTTTCCAAGGAAGAACCGTCAGCCAGTGCTACTTTCCTAAGCGGCTTTAGCATATCGGGAGCAATACGATTCTAGAACCCAATCAAGACCATTTACCGGAAAGCTTCTCGATTCGGCGGTTTTGAAAATGTGTAACCCACCAATCGCATTCGATGCCAGACGCCAGTCAATGTAAAGATCTCGGCCAAACTTGTACATTTCTGATTTACTTTAAATTCCCAGATGTGTTTGGGATTTAAGTCATCTAGTTTCCCGATTCCGCTGAATTCTCCCTCGTCTCGTGGTCTCCTTGATCAGTCGGACGCAAGTTTACCCCTGAATGCAGTGCGTCTGTACCTCGGCGCCAGAAACCAGACCCTGTAAATAAAAGCAAGCACAGAACAAGATTTCGGCAGACAAGACAACGTCAATCTGTACGAACGGTACTGGAAAATAAGCGGGAAACTGATTTCTAACCAGTTCCAAAACTATCATGATCATGCCTCGTAACATTTGCCTCTATTTAGACGCTACCAGAAAATGATGTTCTTGCATTTACCAAACTTTAAAAGCCGTACTCTCGTACCCCGCATTCTGCACGACACCATGTCATTTTCCCCAGCCGATATTTGATGGGTGAACAGACCGCCAACCATACCTTGTCTTTAGTTTTCCCGTCACACTATTGCAGCCAGGTAGTATTAACCATCGCAACCCTATAGAACTATTATTTCGACTTGTATATGGAGCATTTACAACAAGAAAAAGAAGCTTAGCGGTATTGAATCGTTGGAGGTTCGGCATCCTCACATGTAGCAATATGCTCATTTATACTCGACGCGCTGCTCCGAAGGAGCCCAAGAAGAGGTCAAGAGCTGGTAAGAAGTGGAATTCTGAACGTCTCTTGTTGGAAAGCTAACATTGGCGGTGGTGAAGGATGCTTGTCTTGGTAAGTCTTTCTTCGAGCGTAAAATTCGCAAGCTAATTTCTCGTAGCAAAGAAAAGGTACGGAGTCATAACTTCGAGCGGTCTACACCTGGTCTAACCCATCTACAGAAAAAGAAATGTAACGAGAACCGCCCACAATGCGATCGGTGTATAGAACGCGGTCTGCCATGCGAGTACGAACCTGTTAAACCTCGAAAACGAAGGCGATCCTCTTTTGCGGGTTCTGCGCTGTCGCAGGGTGGGAAATCACCACGTTTATACAATGAAGAATGGGCGGGCGGGTTTGATGACACATATGGCACGCAGGAAGATGGTTACAGTCCTACTACACCGCGCTGGGGAAGTGCGGGCGAGATTCGATATCCGCATTCAGAACTTGAAACGCCTGGTTTAAAATGGCAAGAAACGTGGGAGAATGAACACGTGGAGGAAATAGTACGGGAGGAAGCTATCATACCCAGAGCAGGAACTCTCGCGCGTTCAAGAAGCCAATACCCAGATCTAGCTATGATAGCGCCATCGCCTGTCGCCTCACCGTTATTAGAGTTCAGCGCGCCTTTATATATGGAATTTTCGGACAAGAAGAATAGACGGGGCTTGGTGGATCACTTTTGCAACGTTCTGTCGCATTTGATAGTGTTCAAGGAGGACACTGGAAATCCGTTTCGGCAGTTGGTGCTTCCGCTGTCGCATGCTTGTTCGCCTGTTATGAATGCGATATTCGCGTTGTCGAGTGCTCATCTGGAGTATGGAGGGATTGAAAACGAGGAAAAGTCGTTGACGTTTCATAATAGAGCTTTGCAGGGTGTTGCGCAGTTGATTGATCAGAACGACACAACAAGACGAGAAGAAGTTCTTGGAGCGATTATGTTGCTTGTGTATTATGAAGTTGTAAGTACATACATCCAGGCTATGCGTACGGTACTGATATTAGAATAGCTGGTTCAACGAGGCAACTCGAATATCGTCAATGGTCATTTGAAAGGTGCCATGACAATTATGAAATCTGGGCCTCGAATTGACACGCCAGCGGGATTATTCTTAGAAAGAGTGAGTACTTATAAGCCCTCAAGTAGTCCGATCTAATGTATCCAGGCATTCCGTTTCTACGACGTTATTGCGGCTCTCTCACTAGGCACATCCCCCAACGCCACCACACAACCAACAGCGACACCATTCCCAGATGACCAGCCATTTTTCAACTCTCCATTGAACTCTGTCGATACACTTTTAGGCCTATCCACCGACCTCTGGCCAGTAATTCATCGTCTTTCACATCTACTATCATTTAAAAAATTACTCGAAGACGCTGTTGCTGCTGGGGAAACCACTAAAGCCAACGTTTTAAGAACAGAACTTGAAAGCACGTCTCAAGCTATTGAGCATGCATTGACAGAGTGGAGGCCTACTGTTACCTCCAACCCTTCTTCTCCAGAAGACGATGACGATACTGCTTCCCATGCCGATATCTCTGACGCCAGACTACAAAGTATCCTCAACAATGCTGAAGCATATCGCAATTCTGCTTTTGTATATTTGTACAGGACAATACGCGACTACCCTCGCAACCATTCACTGGTACAGAGTCATGCGCATCTTTCACTCCTGGCCTGCTCAAATGTTGTCACAAATGCAGAGCAATGTTTCGATGGACCTATGTCGGCCTTACTTTGGCCGCTATTCGTAGCTGCTTGTGTAGCATTAACCGATGAAGATAGAGAATTGGCTCTCCAAGCCTTTTCTGGAACAGAACGAAGACAAAAGATGAGAAATATCATGCGAGCTTGGGAAATTGTTCAAGAGGTTTGGAGTAGAGCAGATCTTGGCGAAGAAGATATTGACTGGATGGACATTTGTACGCAAAAAGGCTACAATATTGTCTTTGGATAAATCGAAGCCGACCGGACAATCTCATTCCATCCTCGGGAGTTGGCATGTGGCTGCTTTCGATTCACGATCAGGTGACGAGCCACCAGGAAACTCGCCCAAATGACGTAGCCAAATCTTCGAAATCGAACCTCTTTAACCGGATTTGAACAAGTTCGATACTATTTTCGAAAAAGGCAATGCATATTTGTGTCGCGTTAACGCAATCCAGTACATCGTGAACGTAGCAAGAGCAAGAGCCAAGTCGATCATCGCTAACAACCGTTTTATACGGATTCGACTAACGACTAGTAATCCGCGTTCGGGGCAGGGTTTCAGGGTTGAGGGTCACCAAATGGCGTCGTCACCACCCCAATCGCATGGTCTTTCACGTCCTATTGCATTTGCACTTCTGACGGGAATTTTGTGTACTTTCTCGTCTTGGTCACGACGATGGACGGTCTCTGGAGCGCCGTTATTTCAAGTTCTGGTCTTGCTTGGAAGGGCTAGAGGAAATCAGGTCTTGCCGTTGCTACATTTCTGGCCGTTGTTTACTGCATTCAATCTCACTTATGCGGTATGCTCGACATCATGGCTGTTGTACTGGACATTTACAGCTGCTTGCTATCCAGCCATATTCCTCGTTTGCCTGGTGTCATTCGATGTCGTCAGCAATTTCGTAAGAAGAAGCTTACGAGCTTTGTTGAAAGAGCTGCAGTTTATCGATGATAGAATTGCGTTCTTCAACATTCCAGCGCTGGAAATCGATACCGAGGTGGACGGTCTGATGGTCTTGCGCGGGATCACATTTCAACTTTCGACACTTTCATTCGTGGTTCATGGTGTTGAGGTTGGAATCAAGCTCAGTGATGACATGGAGTTGGCTATTCAATGCGAAGAGGTCACCATCAAGCTATTTAGAGGTATTGTAGTTGGAGACTGTTTTGCCAATCTTAAAGGGGGCGAGTTTGAGATGACATTTGGAAAGGTCAAAGCGAAGAGTCATGATGCAGATGGAGATGCGGTTTTTATTGAAAACACTCCGCTATTAAGAGCTGCGACGATGGAGGCAGATAGGAGATCGCTTGCAGAGTCGGATACTTCGTCGATAAAGTCACCAGTTGAACCGAAATTCTTTTTCAATGAGGAAGAGGAAGGCAAAACTGTCAAGATGACTGAAGAAATGACCAATAATCATGCTCCAGAAGATTCTTCGCCAAAGGAGAGCTTGTCGTTGATCAAGAAGATGTCACCTGATAATGAAGAAGCTAGTGGGAAGTATAAGAGGACTGTCGAATTCATTCAACAAACGAACGCGATTTACGAAGCTAGGCAGCATATTCAAGGTCTCAATAAGGAGGCCATCAAAAGGGACCAGAATAGCTTTGGTCATGACGATTTGAATGGCTTACGGGCTGCTGTCTGCTCTTATGTTCATTCGACACCGTCAGTGCCACATCCGCCGCAGAAATCCATCAAAGTCACTACCCTTCAAAATCTCATGCCACCTTGGCTTAGACGATTTCTTCATCGACTTCCACTACTATACCGCCTCCTACTTAATCCGATAAGTTACTTTCATCCCGTCAAGATTGAGTCGATCACAGCTACAGCATCTGGAAAATGGATTAGATATATGCTTGTGGAGAATGTACTCAAAGACTACTCCGGATCCGATGATGAAATCAAAGGACTGAAGAAGAAATTCGCACAATGGCTTATCGACGCGAACTTCGCTGTTCAATTAGGTAATATTACCGGAATCGCTCAAGTACCAATCATCTCTAGCTACGACATCGTCACTATGCTTGGCTTCGAAGATGTAATGGCCTACCGCACCATTCCCGAAACCGTCGAACTAAAACAAGTCCTTCGCCTAGGAGGCGCAGATGCACGTTTTGTGATCCCCTCATTCCTCCTCCCTCACCACGATCACCTCCTCCCACCTCTCCCAACCGCAGAAATCAAGCAAGAACTACAAGCCAAAGTCGCCACCGCCGACGGCAAACCAAAAGAACTCCAAGCCACCCATGAACTCGAACAAGCCCTCAAAGACGAAGCCAACGTTCAAATCTCCGTCCACGCCCGTCTCCCCGCCTGTTTCGACCAACAACTCCTCGATTTCATCGCCGCGCTCGTAAAAGCCACGAAGATCGTCGAATTCGATAAAGTCGCTGCGGAAGAGACCGGCGACGAAGAAGATGACGAGGAAAGGAAACGCGGGATCAAGGAGCTTGGGAGGGCGTTTACGGGGAGCATGAAGAGGACTGTGAAGAAAGCTGTTGTGGGGGGCGTGGTTAATGATCGGTGGATTGCGAGGTTGGTCGGGAAGGTTACGAAGACGCTTGAGAGTGCGCAGGGCGAGGCGGGGTATACGGGGGGAATTCCAGTGAAGTTGGAGGTTTATAGGACGGGGGAGGTGGTGAGGGAGGGGGATAAGATATTACCATGATGAAGGCCGTGTTTGTCTGTTCGGGTTTATTTAGCGGGGAGTTGAGTTGGTGGAATTGAAAGCGACGGCTCTTCACGAGTATCTTACTCCAGGGCATAACAGCAGGCCTTGCGACAGCCACTCCATCGTTAGCAGTAAGTCTCAGCAGCTGGGTGACTGCTCAAGCGAGAGATTTTATTCATCGTTCGTGAACGTATATATGTACTAATAAGGTATTTATGTGTACGACCAGATCAGGGAGAAATCCGTTTATTCGACTGACTACTAAGCGAGATGTATTCGTTAACACCTCGTGAGTCTCCTAGATACCCACTAGACCCATGTAATCTTATGTCTGTTTATGATATCTGATTATGCAGAGTATCAAGCCCGCAGAACTGAATTTGGTCTAAACAGTTTCAATGTCCATTTGGAGTAAGTGCAGACCTGACGATAGTTCTGTACTCCAAGTATATAGCATTCCACTCGCTTCATCCATCACACCTCAACAGGCAACCTACAAAACATCCCCACATGCATAATCCCCTCCTCATCCCACCGCCCCATCCCCTCGTCAAGTTCAAACCCCCAGCGCTCCCACGTTTTTATCACCTGTTCCTGCGCATGCACACACACCAGCCCCTTCCAAACCGGCAACTCCTCCAGACTCGACGCCCCTAGCTTATCCATCCCCATCTCCGCAATCGACGGATTAAAATATGTCGGATTCTCCCGCGCCCACGTCATCGCTGCGTTCGTAAGCAATTTTGCTATTCCAGAGCCTCGGAATTCCTTAAGTACGGCCAGTCGCCCGAGTTTGATGTACGGTTCGCGACCGTCGTGGAGGGTTGTGGCGCGGTCGATGATGTAGGGTGGTGTGCTAGTTCCCGTGGATGGGGAGGATGGCGCCCAAGTTGAGCCTGGTTCTGGATGTGGAGTGTGTGGGAAGGGGACGAGGCGGATCGTGCCGATGGGTTGGGATATGGTGTGGGATTTTTGACGTTGGAGGATGTTGCCTTCTTCGTCTGTTTTTTCGGGTTCGGTGGTTGTGTTTATGGATGCATAGACGACCTGGGGACTTAGTATGTAGTTAATTGGGTTTGGAGTAACTTACCCAGTGGCATGATCTGTGATCGTCTGAATCGAATTCGTTTTCTAATGGTACTTTTTGCTCTTCAACAAACACCTTTTCTCGAACTTCCATAGCATCTAGGAATGTTTTTGGGATTCCTGATTGTTGACTATGATCAAGTTTCGAATCATAGGCGTCGAGATTGGTTGGCTCTTGTAACGATATGAAAGGTGTAGCTGCCATTTTGATAGATTTTAATTCCAACCCGGATATGTTCAGATTACTGTATAAAGCAGCTCCAGGTAAAGTGGAAAGCTTTTCTGTATAGTGAAAAGATGGTATAGAGATTGTCTGAGGAAATTGAATTGTGATGAAATAAAAGAGATACTGTTATTCTCGATTTCAGGGTCCTATGACTGCATGTCATTCCCTGTTATGTGGCGGTGGATCGGCCAAGGCCACGAATCATTACCTATGGGCAAAGAACTGACATTTCGATCTGCAGGATGATACCACATCAACTGTACGAAACAAAGAACAGAGCGAATAGGCTGAATGGTGAAGATATAAAGTTGGAAGAAATGGTAGAAGTGAGTGTTCACTTCGAGGACAGCCTTTACGAGATCAACGCTAGCATTCCCTCGGATTAACCATTATCCGAAACCTACTTGGGAAAGCCTCACCACGCACTCCTGCCTCATGTTCCAGGCCTCCACAAATTATCCCTGACCCGCAGTCGCAAAGTGTCCTTTTTGTTAGTGACGAGGAATTGACAAGGATATCTTTCCCCAACTGTCAATTGTTTCTCTTTTGCAAGCTGGCGCTTTACACTTGTGGACAGATTTATATGGGTATTTTCAGCGTCATATAAAGTGTCCTTTGACGTTTCCTTTGCGCTGCTTCATTCTTTCAGCAGTCTCCCCAACAACACATACAATCATGGCCCCTCCATCGCGGGACCCATTGAGCAGACTGCTCTCGTCGCCAATATTTTCACTCTTATGCATTGTTTATCTCTTTAGCTCGACGGCACTGGCTGCGTCTGCGGTTTTGGGAGTTGATTTAGGGACGGAATATATCAAAGCAGCTCTGGTCAAGCCTGGAATACCACTCGAAATCGTCCTGACAAAGGATTCACGGCGGAAAGAAGCTTCGGCGGTTGTTTTCAAGCCTGCGAAGAATCCAAAGGCTGGCGAGTTCCCGGAACGATTATATGGCTCCGATGCCTTGGCGTTGGCAGCAAGATTTCCTGGAGATGTATACCCAAATCTGAAGGCCTTGTTGGGCTTGGGGGCAGACAATTCGGTGGTGAAGGAGTACGCCTCGCGGCACCCGGCATTGAAGTTGGCGACAGACAAGACTAGAGGAACGGTAGCTTTCAAGAGCGGTGCTTTCACACCAGAAGAGGAAGCATGGACGATTGAGGAAATTCTGGCTATGGAACTACAAAGCATACAGAAGAACGCGGAAGCACTTGCAGGAAGAGGCAGTTCAGTCAAGGACTTGGTCATCACCGTACCACCATTCTATACGGCAGAAGAGAGAAGAGCTGTTGAATTGGCTGCCGATTTGGCTGGGTTGAGAGTTTTGGAATTGATCAGTGATGGATTGGCTGTTGGGTTGAACTACGCTACATCAAGACAGTTCAAGAGCGCCAAAGATGGTGGGACTCCTGAACACCACATGGTATTTGATATGGGAGCTGGATCAACCAAAGCAACTATTCTGAAATTCCAAGGACGAACCGTGAAAGACGTCGGGAAATTCAACAAGACCGTTCAAGAGGTTCAGGTTCTCGGTGTTGGTTGGGATAGAACACTTGGAGGTGATGCACTTAATGCAGTCATCATGGATGATATGATTTCTCAATTCGTTTCTTCACCAGCAGCTAAGAGCGTTGCACCAACCGTTGAAGCTGTCAAGGCTCATGGGAGAGCATCTGCGAAACTTCTCAAAGAAGCCGAGCGATTGAGACATGTTCTCAGCGCTAATGCTAACACTCAAGCCGGATTCGAAGGACTCTACGAAGATATTGATTTCAAATACAAAATCACCCGAGCTGAGTTTGAGAAATTGGCTGAACCTCATGTTGCTCGCATTTCCGTTGCGATACAAAAGGCGTTGGATATGGCTAATCTTGAAGCCAAGGACCTCGATTCCGTCATCCTCCACGGCGGCGCCATTCGCACACCCTTCGTCCAACAAGAGCTTGAGAAATTCTTAGGCTCGGCCGATAAAGTACGCACCAACGTCAATTCCGACGAGTCTGCTGTCTTTGGTGCTGTATTCCGTGGAGCCGGTTTGAGCCCTTCCTTCCGAGTCAAGGAGATTAGAGCTCTTGAAGCTGCTGTTTATCCAACCGGTATCAAATGGACCAACATCTACGACAAACCTCAACACGAGAGACTGTGGGAAGCCAAGTCCCTGGTTGGAGTTGAGAGAAAATACATATTCAAAAACCAAAAGGACTTTCCAATCAAGTTCTATCAACATGTTCCATCTTCTGAGAATGTTTCTCCTGGATCTGCTGAGAAAGAGTTGCTCACTTTGACAACTCAGAACTTGACTGAATCCCTAGCTCATCTCAAAGAGAAGTTTAGCTGCTCTGATGGCGACATCAACCTCAAGCTCAGCACTCGTCTTGCAGTTAACAATGGTCAAGTCGAGATTGTCAAGTTGGTTCTTGATTGCGAGGTCGAAGAAAGTGAAGGCAAAGCTGGTGCTTTCGATAGTGTAAAGAACATGCTTGGATTTGGAAAGAAAGATCAAGCTCCATTGACTGACGAGGAAGAGGCTGAGACCGTTTCGAGCTCGGCTACCTCATCAAGCAGCTCCACCAGCTCATATGCGTCAGCTTCCGCATCAGGGAAAGACGCAAAGAAGGATGCTAAATCCAAAGACAAAGATGCCAAGAGCAAGGATAAAGATGCAAAGCCAAAGATCGTGAAGCGATTCGAGATTGTTCCTATCAAATTCACAATCGAGAAAAACGGTCTTCCTCAGATTCCAGAAACTGAATTGACAAGAATGAAGAGCAGATTATCTGCTTTTGCTGATTCCGATCTTTCCCGAAGACGTCGCGAAGAGGCATTGAATCAATTGGAGGGATATACTTACAAAGTTCGGGATTTCCTGGAGAAGGAAGATTTCATCGCCGCGTCAACCGAAGAGGAGAGATCTAGTCTTGAAGCCAAGTCGGCGGCCGCTAGCGAGTGGATCTACGGAGATGGTGCACACGCCAACCGTGATGAATTCAAGGCCAAGTTGAAGGAGATGAAGGATATCGTCGAGCCAATTCAACTTCGAAAGACTGAAGCTGTTGCTCGACCAGAACAACTCAAACTTCTCCAAGAGTCACTGAACCAGACTCAGTCTATGATCGCTGGTATTAAAGAGCAAATCGCTAACGACACCAAGAACCACGAGGCATTTACATCGTCAAAACTTGCTGCCTCAAAAGCCACCCCACTCCCATCATCATCGACCAAGGAGGCAGACGACTTTGACGGCCTTGAGGATGAAGCTACCGCCTCAGCAACAGTAGAGCCAGAAGCAGAAGAAACCATGGCACCATCAACATACGTCGAAGCAGACATCGTCAGACCTCAATCCCTCTACGACGAAATCACTGTCTGGCTTACCAAAAAACTCTCGGAGCAAGAAAAGTTATCCGAGACTGCTGACCCAGTCCTGCTCTCCAAAGACCTGGAATCACGTTCCAAACAACTCCAGGAAGTCCAGGTCGAACTCATCATGAAAAGCATGCAACAACCATTCAAATCTTCTCGACCACCAAAGAGCAAAAAGCCATCACCAAAACCCAAAAAGACCAAGTCTGCAAAGACGAAGACTACCTCGACCGAGGCGGCTGAGAAGACTGCGGCTGGAGATGAGCAGCCAATGTTCCAGGTTGGCGAAGATGGGAAACCCATCTTCAAGGTTGGTGAGGACGGTAAAATGCCGAGCGAGGAGGAGATTTTGGAGTTTATTGAGAAGAGTAAGAAGGAGAATGCTGGGAAGGCAGAGGGGAAGCATGATGAATTGTGAATTAAATAGGTTTTGGTCTGTGTTTAGATTTTCGAAAGAAAGAAAGAATTGATATTTAGCGAATTCGCATGATGTTTGGGTTTGATGTGATCGTGATTTGAATTGAGTAGGTCTGAGGATGTCTGTTAGTTCAGACAAACGTGTATACCCACCAAGCCATCTCCTAATTCGGCGATTAGACTGATACACCCGCCGATTCCCATGGTTTCTAGACATCGCTCAACGACTGCTTTTGTCTCTTTGAATTCAGCGCATTCTTCTATCTGTATATTCGACCCTGGGTTAGAGAGAATGATCGGTGCGCGTAAGAGCGATTGTAATGTTGAATAGGTATGTGATATCAGTGCTTCGCGGGACAACTCCATTCCTCCACCCTCGAGGAAGTGGAGGAGGAGTGCGGTTTTTATGTTGTCAAGTACCGGCTGAAGGTGTTGCGGCGTTGTAGGGGACAGTGGCTGCTGTTGTGGGAATGGTTGGGCGTAAGGTGATTGTACTGGTAGCGGTGTTGGTGCGTAGGTTGGTACGTAGACCGGTGTGTATGATGCTGGTGAGTGGTTCTGGTTGTATCTTTGACTGAAGACGGAGTTCTGGCTGGTTTGAGAGAATCCGGGTGCGGTTGTCACTGGTACAGCGTTTCCTCGCTCGTCTACCACATTTAGAAATGTTGGCGGTACGGAATGAATTTGCGGTCGCGGATGGACGAAGGTAGACGTAGTGGGAAGGACGTATGAGACTGGTTGGATGTACTGGCTTGTTGCAGGTGGCGGAGATCGTGTTGAAGGCTGGATATACGATGGAATCGTGGACGTGAGATTATGAGATCCTGGCTGGCTATATGAGCTAGTTGACGGCGGACGAGGTGGTCCAGGCTGGTTATATGGGCTCGCTCCCGGTGGAAGAGATTGTGGCCTCACTACTCTGATTGGCAACTGCATTGCATGTTGCTGTCCGACAGGTTCTCCAGGCAATTCTGCAATCGCCGGCATCTGGATTGCCGGCTTTGGCAGCACCCCGTAATGTTGAGGTGGAATAAAAGGCAGAGACTGTCGACGCTGCGACGAATTCTCGAAAGTCGGCAGCGAAGACGTCGAAGAAGCAGGTGTCTGCAAATAAAGTCTCGATGAATTTGATCCAGATGATACCGTTGAGACAGAAGACGGACGAGTTGGAACACTCGGTCTCATCCCTTGCGGTTCATAAACCAATCCAGCATTAGAGGAACAACCACAGTCCCTCCAAGGTAAACAATTATGTTGCGAGTATCTAGGCTTTGGAATCTCGACAACCGCATTCCCATCAAGACGCTTCCCAAGATTTGCAAGCCGCTTCTGTATCCATGTTTTATTTCCGTGATGAGCGCGGAAATCGTTTGCAGAAGACGGGTTTAGAGGTGTACTCCCGGGGTTGACAGAGCTACGAGAATCGATGGCAGAGGAGAACATTTCGAAGATTGTCTGACAATTAGCTTTTGACTAGAATGAGATTTAGAAAGCTTACCTCATAACTAAACGCTTCTCTACCACTTCCATACCACCAGTCACTTGTACTCTGTACACTACCTGCAATGCCACGATCCACAGCTCCATTCGCGATGAGAAAATCTACCGTCATCTCTGCCCTAATCCGTAAAGTCTGAGCTTGTCTACCGACCCTACCTGGTCCATTCGGATTAGCAAGTGCTTCCCTTTCCTTCTTGTAGCATTTCCCTCTCCATTCCAAGGCTCCATTCAATGGTGTCGGTCCAGCGGACATATTAACATCTTGACCAGCTTCAACCAGAGCTCGACAAATTTCGTAATTCCCAAAAGCACACGCCATTCTCAGCGCTGTTTGTCCCATTTTGTCAATTCGATTGAGACAACTTTTATCTGCTACCTGACTTAGGATATATTTCGCAGTCTCTTCGAGACGATTTCCGTTGGTATAAGATGGCCAATGGTTCATAGCTAAGGCGTAAAGAAGATTTCCACCGGCACCTGGCCAGCCCCAAAAATTTACATGCCCGAATCCGAGTCGAGGAACATCTTCTAATAAATATTTAAGACGGGAGATGGGTATGTCGGGCCAAGACTGTAACAGATTCATCGTCACAGATGTCCCTCCCAGCCATCCAAAAAGTGCATTCTTATTTGCTCCCAACTCGAGAAGTGCTGTGGCAACAGCAAATCTCCCAGAGCAGACTGATATGGCGAATGGCGTCCAGATAGTATCTTTTGTACTTCCAACACCATCGACTGGACATCCGATTTCAATCAGTCGTCGTGCAAAATATGGATCAGGTTGTCGTGTGAAGCAGCATACTTGTAGTGGTCTCCATTTTTGTCTCCCATGCTCTGTGCTGGGATTTATCAGCCCTCTTGCAATGAATGTTTCGAATAATTCTTTTTGCCCCGCCGCGACAGTGATCAATAACAAATCAGGACTTTTGTCGCCCAAGAGATCTTTTCGTTTGGATAGGTTCAGTTTATCGAAGAGATATCTCAATAGATACGGGCTGTCCTTGTAAAATGCTGACTTAAACAACGCCTCTACATCATCTTTAGTAGGTTGATATATTTTCAACAGTGTGTCAAATGTCCGATCCAGCGCCGGTCGAAGATTGTTATCACCGTGTCGTAGCCGACGAGCTAATCTCATATCACTGGTGTCTCCTGCGCAGAGCAACGCAGTCTGCCAATCTGGCTTGCTTGCATTTGAAATTCGAATTTTGGAAGTACGGAGAATCTCCATAATATCAAAAAAGTGCATGCAAGCCGCGAGAGTTATCAGACGGTTCATAACCTCAACTTTAATCTCTTTCATGGCTTTGAGAAGTTGACGCGTGAGAGCACAATTGCGGTGCCATACTGCCCAACATAATGGAGTTCCGACAACCTTGCCAATATTGTAATCATCTTCAGTATCGCCTTCCCAAAGACCAAGTGGAACACCTCTTCTGATTAACAATGTGATGAGATTCTGAATTTTAGTTTCATCGCTGAAAGAGATCAGCCAGTGATATGGTGAAACGCCTGAGTCCTGTTGAGCCAATGAGTCCTGGCCATTCAAGATCTTTTCGCAGGCTAAATAATCGCCATATCGACAAGCTTGGTGAAGATCGGACTCGACCGCATCTGACTCTGTAGAAACATGTTCAAAGTTCAACGGCCGACCCATAAGACGTTGGAACCTATCCACATCTAGCATACGAAGGCTCTCTTTAGCAAAATAAGATCCAGTGGATGCAGCTTCTTCGAGCCAATTGAGTGGTATCGACCCAGTCGGTTTTCCAGTAATGATGTGATATTGAGCAATTATTGCTTTGGCTTTGAGGCAGCCCAGCTTGCATAATCGCACAAGCATATCACAGCAAACTTGTTCATCTTTTTGGAGAACCATAAAATGTGTATCTGACGACAATCGAAAAAGTAGCCAACCACCTTCCACTGCTAGGCTCGTTGCAGATTCAAAGACACTGCTCAGTCCAGAGGCTAGGGATAATAGCATGGCGGGTTTCAATGAATAGCTCAATAAACTATCTGGGTGGGCTGCTTGAAGATTTTCAAGCACAGTAAAAGGCTGCTCCATCAACCAATAAGACTTACTATCTAAGGTTCTGTAAGTGTCAACGTTAGCACTGCGGTACGAATTTTTTCCAGACAAACTTACTGCACAGCTGGAAATCCTTGACCTTGCGCTAAAAGAAATATAGTCTGATCCAAACTTCGACTCATTGAATCTCGTCCAAGTGTGAATCCAACCAATAAATGAAAGTAGTGCGGTGTATCTCGTTGCGTCCACATCGAATTCAGGACTAGTCTCTGAAAATCATGATGCGACTTTGCACTGTCCACTATTTCCCTCAGAGAACTTTGGTCGTTCAAGCCAATATCTACAAGAGGTATCAACCTATATGGATTCGGGTGGTGTCTGAAAACTCTCCACGCCATAAGTCCGAATGAAAAGACATCGGTTTGAAAAAGTCCTTCAACAGTCAGAGGTTGATCTGACTCTGGCGCGCCCCAGAGAAACGTTTCCCCAGGCAATCGATGGTCTATCTTCGAGACATCCGGATTGACGACAGATAATCCAAAGTCCGAAAGACGCGCAGTATATTTTCGTTGCTGATGACGACAAATCAGAACATTTTCCGACTTGACATCTCCATGAACAATGTTGCATTGATGTAGAGCTCGAATCCCTCGAGCAACGTCTAACAGCAGAACACGACATAACTCAACGTCCATGTGAATATCTTCCTGAAGTGTATCAAATGTGCCATACTCGGCATATTCCATCAATAAAACCGGCCACGCTAATGTAGAATCATCGTAATCTTCTTGAAAGTCAAGCCCGAAAATGCTGATAATATGTTCGCATTTTCGCAACTGAGGATGAAGAAGCACTCTGAGCTCCTGCAGAGTCGTGTCATAGTATTCTTTCTGAAACGCTTGAGGGTTGTCAAGATTTCCTCCAGATGTAAAATTTGGTGTCTTGAGACAATAGACCTCGGGATTTATGGCCCTTCCATCAGCGGTCTTATAGCCACGGTCGTCCGGATCAAAAGGACTGGCCCATACAGCAAAGTTATGTCCCATTCCCAGCACGGGAAATTTTGCGCTGAATTCAACATCATGTAAAGCGATGACATTATTGATAAATGGCGCATTACTATCAGTGCGAGATGTTTCGTGAAAGTAATGATTTAGAATTCTCAATATCGACGGTAGCTCGCCATCTGCCTCTGTCTCATCTTCACTGATCGTGATCAGGGGTTGATGAGAATGTCGCTGAATCCGAGAACGTACCGTCCGTCGCGATGCGGCCAGAACTGAATACTCAGGTTCGTAATTACCCAGTATTCGAGGGTATGAGATGCCATCCGTCATACCGGATTTTCGTCATTTGACAATCTAGATGTCAAGAATTAGGTCGCAAGGAAACGTTCAGCCTCATGAGAGAAATGCTATTTTAAGACATCAATATTTGGCAAGCCACGCAACCCAATTCAGCGAAGCCACATGCCGGCAATTCCCATGTGCTGAAATTCGAGCCACCCAAACAATTCAATCGTGGAAACGATGTTTCATCCATACTTTTCAAAGATTCAAATTGTAGATGGTAAATGTATCCAGCGAGCGATCTTTACGCGTATCCGCAACATCAAGCACGACAATCCCTTAGAACTGTCACGACCTCCCACAACAACCCTTGTCTAACATTGTCCTTGTAATCAAGATTCTCATACTCATCGGGACGGTAATGATCAAGTCGTTCAAAACTCCCTTCAAGACATTTTCGCACTACCGTCATATATCTCTCACCCATAGAGACACCAAGTCCAGGAACAACTTTCTCCAGCAAGACTTTCCTGAAATTAAACCCAGGCGGTGGATGGCTTGGATAGTATCGAGAAAGTGTTCTCCAAGTTGCAATCTCGATCAGCAAAGTGCCTAGGCTATAAATGTCGTGAATCGCACGATATTTGGCGGATTGTCTGCCTTCAATATTGCAAACTTCTGGGTGTCGATACATTGCCATTGCTCTTTGAGCTACTGCACTTCTTGATGAGTCCACATTCGGATCATCTGGACGCGAGAGCGCAAAGCCTGTAAAGTAAGGATTATCCAGTGACACCGGGTCTCGTGAAGTCTGCACATCTGGTTGCCTGGAACTAGGCGATAGGAGAATGTTGTAAGAATTTATACTCTTATGAAGCCATCCCGTAG